GATCAAATGTGATGTTTGCATTAGTCGCTAGGCTTCCACTAGTCCCGCTACATCAAATCTATGTTTCTTTTCATGATGGGTTGTGTCAGTTAATGTCCTCCTGCATTTATAAAACTGCATAACGATCTAGTGGTGAATCCCTATTATTAGCCCCCCTGAATTAAAATTTTCATTTCAGTTTAATGGATAGAAGATTTTTCACAACCCATTTCTAAACATAATAGTTTTAATAACTCATCTCTAATAATTGATTTATTTTATCTTTGCCATGATGACAGTACATAATATTTGACTAGATATTTTTCAAGACACTTCTAAACAGCTTAAAGTGACATTTAAAGGCTTAACTAGATTAACCTGGTTAACAAGGCAGGTTAGGGTAATTAGGGAAGTTATTTTATGACAATGGTTTGTTCTGGTGACTATCGAAAAAAAAGCTTAAAAGGCCTAATAGTTTTGACCTTAAAATAATATTTTAAAAAAATTAAAACTGCTATATTCTAGCCAAAATAAAACAAATATAATTTTCTCCAGAAGAAAAAATATTATCAGACATACTATGAAAATTTTCTTGCTCTGTTAAACATAATTTGGGAATTATTCAAAGAAGACATTATAATTTTGACTTCAACTGTATGTATATATATATATATATATATATTAATATAAATAATTAATATATATTGATGACAATTACGAGCTATTTGGGCACCCTGGAAAAAAGTTGTTTTTCATTAGTTTTAATTTTCAAAAGTTTTTTAAGGAAAACCGAAACACTGTTTTGAAAAAATTGTTGGAGATATTGTCTTCATTGGGTTTTCATGTTAAATCCTGACTTGGAGATTTGAAAAAAAAGTCTATATATTTCTTCAGTAAAATATTGTGTTACACTCTCAAAAATAAAGGTACAAGACCTATTACTGGGGTGGAACCTTTTCAAAAGGTACACATTTGTACTAAAAGTGTATATATTGGTACCACAAAGGTATATATTATTACCTCTTGTATCTTTATTTCTGAGTTAAACAGAGAGCATAAACTTTTAAGACATGACAATACTGTTAAATGCACTTTAGCACATAGAAAGACTTCTCGTGCTCAGCCTAATTAACAGATTCAGTGGAGCCTATGTTTACCATCATCGCAGCACAGTACAGGCATCTTGTTAAAAAGACATGTGGATTAAAAACATGCAATGCTGATGAATTATAGCTTTTCATTTGTTTTGAATGTTGTAAGTAACATGTTCAATCTAAACCAGCGGCCTGATTTTCATTGTAAGAGTCTGGTCAACGTCACATATTATTGCTTATGTGGTGAAATGTGTATGTAAGCAGTAAATATGCAAACTGCATATGCGTTTTTTGCTTGTATATTTTACATTTCTTTAGAAATGTTGTACACATTTGAGTTTATGTAACTAACATTTATCTACACTTCTAATTCGTTTGGACTGTTGTTTAATAAAGCTTCTTCGTTATTAATCATAGTTATCACTTTATAATAAGTCCACTGTGGTTTAATTATTTCAAATTATTTTTAAAATAATTATTAGCCCCCCTGAATTATTAGCCTCCATGTTTATTTTTTCCCCAATTTCTGTTTACCGGAGAGAAGATTTTTTCACATTTCTAAACATAATACTTTTAATAACTAATTTCTAAAAACAGATTTATTTTATTTTTGCCATGATGACAGATGACAGTTCTATACAGCTTAAAGTGACTTTTAAAGGCTCATCTAAGTTATTTAGGTTAAATAGGCTGGTTAAGATTAGGCAAGTTGTTGTGTAATGATTTTTTTTTTCTTTCTGTAGACTATTGAAAAAAAAAAAAAATAAAATAAAAAAAAAAAAATATATATATATATATATATATATATATATATATATATATATAGCCTAAAGGGGCTAATAATTTTGACTTTAAAAAAATAAAAACTGCTTTTAATCTAGTCAAAATAAAACAAATAAGACTTTCTCCAGAAGAAAAAATAATATTATCAGACATACTGTGAAAATGTCCTTGCTGTGTTAAACATCATTAGGGAAATATTTAAAAAAAGAAAAAAAAAATCTCAAAAGGTGGCTAACAATTTTAATTTCAACTGTATATTTTTAAAACTTGTAAATATAATTAACTTAACTAAAGTTATTCTATTACTTTTTAAAACCTTTACTTTCTTACTTTTATATAAACTTGAAATCAATTTATTATGCTTTCTTGGGATGTTTTATTCATTTTAAGATATTTCCCAAATGCTATTTATTGAAGAGAATAGTTAATAACTTTCTAGTAAGTAATTGTTGTATTTCAGTCAAACAAAAAAAAAATGAGACAATTACTATAATCCTATAAAATAATTTTGCTCTGTTAAACATAACTTAAAACATATTAATTATTTTGTATTCAACCTCACATTTCTTACTGACCTTAATAATTCTGTGTAATTTATGAAATTTATGTAATCTTATGTAATTTCTGTGTATTTTAATTTAATAATTATTTTTTACAATTTGAAAGCTTTATTTTGTTGTGGATTTGCCATCACATCAGTTCAGTTTTATTTGTTGCTCTTTAATTTGTTGCTGATAATAACATATAACTTTACCTCTAACTTAGTGGTATCTGACACATAAAATCTGTTCCAGCACACATCAAGAATTCTATTAGCATGTGTAGTCTAGACACGAAACCCAGAGCCTAATCTGTTACGTGTTTGCCGACACTCGAAAAGATGCACTCAAATCTCATTAATTACTTCAGTGTAGAGTAATTTAATATCTACAGTGTGAACAAGTGAGCTGTCCTTAGAGGTCAATGATGGGGCTAAATGCAAATGAATATTTGAACGCTTACCATGAATGAAGGCTGATAAGTTACATGGATGAATGTGCTAGATAATACCAACAAATAACTGATCCTTCTATTTGTGGTATGTTTTCCCTTTTTTGTGGACTCACAATAAGCAACTAAAAATCTCACCCGCTCTCATTCCACTCCTGCCTCATTTTCCAGTAAGAGAAACATCTGGAAACAATGGCTTGAAAGCAAAGACGACCCATAAATCAGTTAGGGTGTTTTTGCTTGTAGAGAGGATCAACGTACCACAAAAATCTTTAGAAAAGCCATAAAAATCTTAAAAGAAGGTGGTGGAATATTAAGATGAGCTGGCACTGTCCCAAGCAGCTTTAGATGCTTTTGATAGGCTTGCGTTTTCCATCTGGTCTTTTTTTTTTTTCATGTTGAGTCAGTGGAACTGATTTCTCTGTATGTCTTCAGTGAGATATGATTTAATTCAAAATTTGTTTGTCAGTCTTGTTTAAGAACAGAATAATTAGCCATAGGTTGCACTTTTTTCTTTTTTTTAGGGTCATAATAATTGGTTTTGCCTTTTTTATATTATTTTATTTGTTTATTTTTTATTTATTTTTTGAGTACTTTCATTCAGCAGGGACACATTTAATTAAACAAAACTTAAATAATCCTGCACTTGGATCTTTAAAATATTTGGTTTTCAATTAAATGCTGTGCTTTTCAAATGTCCTTTCATTAAGGAATCCTGAAAATCTATAACATAGTTTCCACAAAATGTTGATTAACTATTTATAACACTGAATAGTAGGAAATTGTTCATTCATATATACGTCATTGTGCAACCGATGACACTAGACAACAGTCGAGAGTTTAAATGCAGTTTATTTACTCAAGAGTATTGCAGGCAATGGTCAAACAGGAACAAACAGTAGCATGAGGGTAATCCAGAGAGTAGTCGTGGTCACAGGATATATGGTCCATTTGACTAGTCTATCATAAGCTTTCAGCTGTGCGAGTGTAATCAGGGAGAGAACTGGAACTGGTGTGTGTGTGCAGTGCATAATGGGATTTGTAATTCTAATCAGTGGTATATGTGTAGTTCTCCAGGGATCTGCACAGGCTAGATAACTGGTGATTGTGACACGTTGACATTGAAATTTAACAGTGTAATGGCAATGTGTAAAAAATTTTGTTAGTCAAATAAAAGTAAAAAATATCATAAAAAATATTATTTATTAATCTTAGTTAACATTAATTTTGACAGTTTTAACAAATGCTTTGATTTTATAGTATATTTAGTAAATATATGATGGAAATAAGCTGATAAGAACTAATAACAAACAGGTGAATTTTTGTGATCTACTATTTAAAAAGGAGATATAAATTATGTGATGTTGTTCCTTCAGTAAAAATAAGTGCATTAGATAATGAACATTATTGTGAAGTGTTATCCAAATGAAATATTAAATAAGGATTTTTTTTTAGACTGAACCTCAACTGTATGTACTGTACCATTTAAATATTTGATGTAATTTAAACTGTTGCAGGACAAATTATTATGCCTCCTGTGAAACTTGTAATCTTTTTCAAATGTTTCCAATGTGATGTTTACCAGAGCAAGGGTATTTTCACAATATTTTCTTATATAATATATGTATTATAATATATATATTTCTTTTTCTTTTATAAATATATATTTAATTTTTAAAAGTAAAGTCAATATTATTAGCCCCTTAAGAATTTAGAGTTATTTTTGATTAGTTGAGAACAAACTAATGCTGTCCAAAGACTTGCCTAATTAACTGAACTTGTATAGTTACGTTAAATTAACCTATGCTTTTTAATCAAATATTATGACAGTATCTTGCAAAATAATGTAAATTATACAAAACTACCATCATGGCAATGACAAAAGAAATGTGTAATTACTAAAAAAGTGTTATGTTAAAAAATGTCTAACAAGTCACAGGAAGGCTAATACGTTTGCCTTTATCTTTATGATTATGATCCAAACAGGTTTTTTAAACATTTCCTTTTAATATTGACTAAAAATTTTATTAAATACAAATAAAAAAAATGCATTTGCAGTTAATCCAATTCATTAATATGCCATTTATATTGCAAGCAAAACATACTCAAACTAACACATTTCTCTTGTTTCTGTTCTTACTTTGTTTTCTAAAGCAGGAACAAGAGACGAGCTACACCATCCTGAGGTCGAAGGGTACAAATGTTACACTGAACGGACTGAAACCTGACACCACCTACCTGCTGCAGATCAGAGCTCGTACTGCTGCCGGTTACGGCAGCAGCAGCCGCAAGTTTGAGTTCGAGACCAGCCCAGACTGTAAGCATTTACATATTTACTGTCATACTGCTTCCTATTTACAGTCCCATTCACCAGTCCATTCCCAGCTGTGCAGAACAAAGAACAATACAGACAACGACTCATGATTCCCTTGGCTTCTCAGCCCATACACCATGTTGCAAGTCATTCACACAGTATAAACCACTTGGTAAAACGATACAAGCTGCAGCTTTTGTCCCGTGATGGCAGCTGTTGTCTGCAGCACTATTAAGCACTTAGACTGAACATTCTGTAAACGTTGTATTGTGGAGCAGCATTGCTGAAGGCCTTTTATCTAATGAAAACCTTTATTGGAAATCAATGCACACTCATGTAATGAAATGATACCATGAGTGGCTCTCCACAGATTTCTGAGCACAATCTGGAATCTATAGGCGCCTCAGCGCATATAGCTAGTGTGAAATGTCCACCAAGCCGCCCATGAGATCTTACTTTATGCAGAAAATGATATCCATATGGAATTTTATTTCTAATTATATTCATGATAAAAGATGGATTTATATTTATAGTGTCTGATATGATTAGAATCATAAATAATTTATTATCTAAATTATATGGTAGAGGTTTATTTCTCAGTATGAATTGATTAATTAATCTGATAATTGCATACTGTGAAAAAGACTGCAGATCCTAAAATATAAAAGTATGAACTATTTTGGAATAATTTGTTCGCTATTTCCATGTTTGCTAGCGTGACGCCCTCCTGCTGCTATTATTTTCTCACAAAATGTGCTTTTCTTTGTCGTCTCTCAATATGTGTCATTACCATGCAATGCAAAAGACTGTGTGCTGTCATGTCGCATATTTATGATAAATATTTAAACTCTAGGATTCAACATCAATTAAGAATGGTTTGAATAGAGAGTATTGTTTTCACCTCCACCTCCTGAAGAAAAAACAGTTAGCATAGTTAACTAAATTGCACTAAATTGAATCTTTAAATTAAATTAAATTAAATTAAATTAAATTAAATTAAATTAAATTAAATTAAATTAAATTAAATTAAATTAAATTAAATTAAATTAAATTAAATTAGGTCATTTGGCATTTCTGTGTGGAGTTTGCATTTTCTCCCCATGTTGGCGTGGGTTTCCTCTGGGTGCTCCAGTTTCCCCACAAGTCCAAAGACGTGGTATAGGTGAATTGGGTAGGCTAAATTGGCCGTAATGTATGTGTGTGATTGAGTGTGTATGGATGTTTCCCAGTGATGGGTTGCAGCTGGAAGGGCATCCACTGCATAAAAAAAGATGCTGGATAAGTTTGTGGTTTATTCCGCTGTGGCGACCCCTGATAAATAAAGGGACTAAGCCGAAAAGATAATAATAATAATAATAATATAAAAATGCAAATTGTTTGAAAGGTTATGTTTACGGCTAGTGTTGATTTAGGAGGACAGAACAGAGATTGTATAGCACAAAAATCCCTACTTCTTTGGGACCCCATAAGTCCCCATAAAGTGTGTGTGTGTGTGTGTTTGAATCCACAATTACTTGTTTACACACTGCCTTTTTATTTTTATTTGTGTGCGTCTAAGTCTGTATGAAGTATTTGTTTTTGGTAACATTTTACAATAACATTACATGAATATTGATGTGTTAATATGTAAACTAAACATTACTATGACTTAAGGATGAGTTAATGCATGCGCTAATGATGAACGAACTAACTACAGCATAGGTCACATGAGTTCATTTGTGTATAACGGCTACCCTAATTACTTGTTAGTATATGTTTGTTAATTAATGTAATAATGACCACATTAGTTTATAAGTAATTTAACCATCATGAACTCATGATATGTCAAAGGATAACTGTATTGTGACTTTACTTGAAGGATCACATGAATACCCAATTTTTAACTACTCATGAACTCCTTGTGCATACGGCCTAGAGTGTTTACACTGAATAACAATAGAAAAGTGTTCTGTCAGCATTTATATGAACAGTTTAAACACAGGAGTTCATGAGTAGTTAAGCATGAGTTAATGATAATGTGCCCCTCCAAGTAAAGTCAAGACATAATTATGTCACACTTTATTTTGATGGTCCATTTGTTGAACTTAAGTTACATTGCAACTAATTATCATTAGATTATAACTAGACTGTTACAGTAGGTTGGGTTGGGGTTAGGGATAGGGTTTGGGCTTAGGTTAGTGTAAGATGATATGTACTTGCAAAGTTTTTTATAGTCAGTTAAAGGGCACATAGGTTACCCCTTTTTTCATGCTTATTATAAGTCTTTTGTGTCCCCAGAATGTGTCTGTAAAGTTTTAGCTCAAAACACCCATCACAGTATTTATTATAGCTGTTTGAAGTGTCTGTATTATAGCTGGGAAAAGGTTATTGTTCATTCCCGCCCACTGTCCCCACGAGCCTGTCAGCAACATGCATCAACACGCCCTCGGCTGCCTTATGAAGCAAATCTCACGTAACGTTTGTGAGGAATACTACTTTAAGAACTTTACCAATCAGTATTTGATGCATTTTTTTGTGGAGTTGCAGCAATGAGTTTACGCACACACAGCGCAGACACACACACACACACACATAGCACAGACACCTAGCAAGACACACACGTACATACATAGCGTAGACACGCAGGCAGACACACACACACACACACACATAGCACAGACAAGTAGCGCAGACACACACACACATACATAGCGTAGACACGCAGACACACACACACACACACACACACACACACACATACATAGCGCAAACACACCCACACAAAGAGACAGTGAGAGAGACACGAGGCTGTGCTGATGAAGGAAATCTGAAGTGAATCGATATTCTTCATTACACACGTGCACACGTTTTAAACCATGTTAAACTTGTAAAACTTGTTCACGTCTGATGATGATTGATGATCCTAGCAAACTGAACAGACCTTTTATTCCCGGTTGCTTTGCGCTCGTCCTGTCTTGTCGATATGATTTTCTGCATTACTACGGAGACATGTTAATGCGCACAGCTGTCAATCAATATTGGTGGGCGGGGGGACTGCACTCCTACGTAAAGTTGCGGTTGTTCTGCAAACTGCTCCAATTGGTCCAACGTTTTTATGTTGTTATATTTGAAAAAAAAAGGACTGGGTTTGTTTATTTCACCCCAATATGACAGTATATGCACTATACTTACACACATGAATGTCCAAACAGCATGAAAAGTAGATTTTTCACCATAGGTGCCCTTTAAATGTTTGTTGAAAGAACAGTATCAAAAGCTATTAAGCAGTCTACTAATACTTAAATGAATAATCAAGTGTTACCTATAATTATACATTAACAGCTCATGTGCTCATGTTGGTGATATTTAGCTTAAGCTTAAATGTTAATTAATACAATAATAACCAACATGTACTAAAAAATAATTAAGGTAGTCTTTATTTACACAAAAACTCTTGTTACTCATGTTGTAGTAAAAGTTAGTTCATGATTAGTGTGCACCTTAACTCATCATTAATATAATATTTATTTTACATAGTAATACATCAGTATTTATGTACTGTTATTGTAAAGTGTTAAAATTTTTTATTATGATACGAGAATGGGATATTAGGGTCGCAAACAGAATTGTCGTTAGCAGATTTCTGTTAATAAACCTGCAACAGCAAGTAAGGCACTTTGAAAGCTATGAAATCTGTACTATAAAGTGTTCCTAAAATCTCTCTTTCTCTCTTTTTCCCCCAGCCTTTTCTATCTCCAGTGAGAACAGCCAAGTAGTGCTGATCGCTATCTCCTCCGCCGTGGCCATCATCCTCCTCACTGTAGTGCTCTACATTGTGATTAGCAGGTCTGTCTGTCACTCAAGCCACAGTCACGCAGGGGTTTAAGTGTGCCCATCTTAAAGCTGTCACTTTGCTGTCTCAAGTCTCTCCCCAGGACCCTTGATCTCCAATCCTTCAGATATGAAGTATGAAAATGTTTGCCCCTTCATGTCTGCTGCCTATATATAGTTGTAGACGATTCACTTGGCAGAAGCTGTGTTATTTTTTCTGCCCCTGCTTTGCCGAATGTAACGGGCACCATGAGACTCAAGTGTCATGTCATGCAGAGGGGCTGATTTTGGCAGACTGTTCCATTGAAAGAGCGCATGAATCTATGGCTTATTATAAGACCCCAGAACACTGTCATGCCTCATAGCAAAGCAAAATAGCCAAACATTTCTGTGGTTCCTGGCTCTAGTTTTTTGCCTGTGCAGGTCTCTTTGAACATCATTTAGAGAAGAAAAATGTTCTACTTAAAGCTGTTAAGAATAATTAATAATAATTTAGAATAAATAATCCTTTTCATTACTTCAATTGACAGGTTTTGCAGGTACAGTAAGTCCAAACATCCGGACGAAAAGAGGCTGCCTTTTGGCAACGGCCACTGTGAGTATATATCTCAATGATCCTTCAGTATTGCCAGATTTCAGTTTCTTTCCCGGTGTTTAATACTCATTCCTTGCAAATAGTAAAAATCAAAACATAGTTTTGCTGTGGTATTTATTTTTAAATGTCAGACTGCCCACAAGAACCCAGTAGCAGTGGAGGTTTTTATAATATCCCTTTGCTCCTGAGTTACAGCTAGCCAGTTGTCCATATGCTACCATTTTTCACACTGGCAGAAGTATCGGGAAGGAAATTTAATGAAGGCCCACACAATTTCTCTTAGATTAACCTGCATGAGGTGCCCTGTAGGAATATAGCTTAGGTAGCTGATTAGGTCATTTGTAATAGACCTATCCATCTTCAAACCCAGCAAATTGCGTTTCTTGACAACCTTAGCTTCCTATCGTTAAGATTCAAATCAACAACCACTGCAACAGAACATTTTTTTTTTTTTTTCCACTGGACCTCCCAGGCACAAGCATCAGTATTTTTACAGCGGAAAGCAATTTTTGCTCTAGACAGATATTCCTATATTTTTTCCTTTTGTATTAAAAAGTGTATTGAAAAGTATGAATAGATAAATGCAATTAACCTTTTTATATGTATAATTTCAGGCTTAATGTCAAAATGTTTTCTGAGTTAAGTTATTTATAAATAATATATCTCTCCAAGTAATTATTTTAATACAATGTATGTTTCCTCATAGTCTATAAATTAAGTGTATTTTTTCTGATAGTTTTAAAGTGTGTAGGTGATAGTAATCCCTTCCCCCCCACCGACATGTCACTCTTGTGAGATTGCCGCAATTAACAAAGGACAACGATTCCGTTATTTCCTGATAAACAAGATAAAGTTCGGCCTTTAATTTTCTCTCTTTTCCACAATACACAAAAAAAAAACAGTATTTAAAAGAAAAGACCATCACAGTTTATGCTTCACACCAATGTTTTAACATAAGCACGGTTTTCTTTCTTCCTCTGTAGATGACAAATTGTCTTTTCATTGTCTAACAATGTATAATAAGCCAGTAAATATCACTATTAGAAAATGTGGCTACACATTTAGAAATAAAGGTACAAAATCTGTCACTGGGGTGGTACCTTTTTAAAAGGTACACTTTTGTACTGTACAGGTAAACATCAGTACCTTTAGGTTACGCTTTTGGTTCCACTTTCTTACATCTGCTAAATGTTGCCAAGCAACAATAAATATGGCCACACCTTTTAGGTATGCTTTTATGTATGCTGTCTTTTTTTTTTTACTTTCCACTTATTTATTAAAAGAAACATTAAAAAATCCTTATTGATTTGATAGTATTTTCATTTCCAAAACATTTTTGTCTTTTTGGTAACACTTTAGTTTGATGGTCCATTTGAGTATTAGTAGACTGTCTGTTTGTTATCTGTTGATATTGCTCCTTTAACAGACATTTACTGACCCTAACCCCAACCTAATAGTCTACTTATCTAATGAGAATTAGTTAGCGTATAGATGCTATGTAACTTAATTAAAAAAAAAAAACGGACCATCAAAATAAAGTGTGATCATTTTATATATCTAGTTGTATACCAAACTATAATTAATCTATTTTGTACTGCACTTGTTTAAACATAGTTGTCTTTAGACTCCAAAAATAATGTGTTGTTTTAACCCAAATCTAAAGTAAAAATGGACCATTAGTGAATCAATTAGATAACTAAATAACTAGATAACTTAAACCAGTGGTTTGGTTTGGTTTGGTTTGGTTTGGTTTACCCAAAATTAGAAAGACTGAAAGCTATGCAGAATTGAACCATCAATGAAAATAAGATCATAATATAAATAAATATTTATATAAAAAATATGATTTATAGGTGAAATAATGTGTTGTGAATACATTGGATGAACAGGTCAGAGCAAGCATATTCAGCCATCTTACTGTTTGTGACTTCTGTTTGTGTGAAGCCATTTTTGTTGAAAAAAATTAAAACTGCTGTTAACCATGTATTCTCTGCATTGTAAGCACTGTTATTTCTTTTAGAGTTATTTATATGATTTCTTTTCCAGTGAGACTGCCTGGCATTAAGACCTATGTGGACCCGCATACTTACGAAGACCCGAGTCAAGCCGTGCATGAATTCGCCAAGGAACTGGATGCGTCTAGTATTGCCATTGACAAAGTTGTTGGGGCAGGTATGAAGTGGTATCCCTCACTTTTTTGGCGCAGTAAAACAAAGTTACTTGCAAAAATGCACTTGTAACAAACATGGCAGGTGGTGTAAATGAGAATCATTTAACACCACAGCTGGAGGTGTGTGGCTTTGAGATGGGGAAAGAGTTCCTCCCAGTGCTCATCCTCACTGCCTCAATGCCTTTAATAGACTGCCTGCTGCCAGAGCAGAGGAGCATGGGTAAGCAGAGCACACCTCCGGTTGGGATATTATATTTCACCCCCCACAGTTCTCTCTCTCCCAGCATCCCTGATGTCTTAAACAGCGAAGCACATATCAAGATAATGCCTTGTGATTCATGGCTCTGTAGACAATGCTGCAGAACCCTGCAAATAAAGAATCCACTCACTTTTGATGTACCACCGTAAAGTCGGAATACAAACAACAGGGCTTACGCACTACAAATAAGCTCGCTCAATAGTTCATATGTCACTTCTATTGTAAATCACTGTTTTATGGCTTTCATAGTGTTTGGCAAGCAAAGAAAAAAGGGAAATGTTTTTGTATGGGACTTGGAAAATGATCCATTAGCATCATTTTGGTACACAGACAGTCATTTGTCTACATGGCTTATCAGAGCAATCACTGCTGCGGATTAAGCCAGGCTGATATTTAAGATGGTCAACATCATCTCAGTGCTGGCCAAGTCCAGTGTGGCCACTGTTTAGACAGCTTGCAATTATTCTGACTAACTTTTTCCAGACACCAAGCCTGGATTTCACCCATCTCTCCAAACTTGCATGGGAAATAAAGTAATTGCACATCGCATTACGCAAACAGGACACAGCCCTGGCCTGAATGTCTTGAAAGTGACATCATTTTTACCCAAATGTCCATCCAAGTCTCTGTCAACATCATCCTTTTTGGAGCTCTGTACTCCTGGTGAGGCCTTTGAAGTTTGCCTTACACCTGTGTCTGTGCTCTGGAAATTAATATAAGCCAGGAATCTGTTCATCAGCCTTAAAACTGACCAGTCCTGCTTTTCCTAGCCAAAGGTTATCCTTAAATCAGACAGCATGCTTAAAGTTTATGCTTAGTTTTGATGTTTATGAAACAATTTAGCTTATGAAAACTGAATATTACAATAAAATTAAATTTTTATTTAATGTTGAATAAATGTTTTCTATTGATTGTTTAAAAATGTTATTTATTTCTGTGAGAGAGAGAGAAAAGACATTTCGCTTGTCCTCAGTCTTATATGATCTGAGAAGTCATTCCAATATGCTGACTTGCTTGACAGTAATTGAAATAAAAAATCTGATGCCTAATATTTTTATATCATGCAAATATATTTTCATTTTTTACACTGGGGTTTGAAGTGTTGTTAACTCTGTTGGCATTGTTTCAGTAGTCTTCATAGTAAGTCATACCTGCCAACACTCCCGTTTATCCCTGGAACTTATATAAGAACTTATACATCTTAAGGTTTTCATTGATGTATATTAGGGCCGCACAATATATCCTTTTAGCATCGATATCACAATGTGCACAACTGTAATAGTCACATCTCAAAGATATGCAATGTTGAGTAAGGAGTTACAGAATTGTATTTAACCAGTGTATTTGTACATATTGTTAATATTTATGCAAAAAAAAATTGTAATAGATAATTTTTGTGCTGTTTCTATTCCAAATATCTACATTTCAGAGCAAAAAAAACAGATTATTTCACTTACCCCACTGGCACTTGTTTTAAAAATCTCTTAATTAAATCTCTTAATTGTAACTTAGTTCATCTGACAGTGAAAATAAAATAATATGTTTACTTGCTCTAAGAATTGTTTAATATTTAGCCTGGAAACAAGACAAAACAAAGTAGGATTTTTTTTTTCTATTTGTGTTTATTCAATTTATCTACTTGCATACTGTTAGACTCCCCAGAAAACTATCCAATACTGCTATTCATGCCATCTTGTGAAGCAGTATTCATATCGCAATATTTATCACAGAAAATATTTATAGCCCAAATATTGTGCAGCCTTAATGTATATGGTTAAATGATAGGAGAGGACAATATTTGGTTGAGAAATGACAATTTACAGTCAAGCCCAAAATTACCATACCCCAGGGCTATGAAAAATATTGTTTATATCTGGAATCTGGGAGTTCAAAAAGAACATTAAAACATATTTGAGAAAATTGACAATCCATTTTATTAAATAAATCGTGTGTCTTGATATAAATATGGTAGGGGATTTACAAAATATCTTTAAATAACGTATTATATCTTGATGTTTAGCACTTAATATCCTATTAATTTTGGCATGAAAAAAAGTTAATTTGGCTTTTTCTGATTTTGGCTATTCCTAATATCCCTGCACAGCTTAAGACTGGTTTTGTGGTCCAATGTCGCACATTACAACATTACGGAAAAAAGTATTAATATTGTGCATGACTCCCATGAGCTTGGAGGACTGCATGCATACATCTCTGCAATTACTCAAATAACTTATCAAAAGAAGTCATCTAGAATGGCAAAGAAAGCATTTTTGCTTGACTCATAGAGTCCATCAAGATTCTTTGGTTTCATCTTCAATGCCTCCTCCTTCATTTTACCCCAGACATGCTCAATAATCTTCATGTCTGGTAAATGGGCTGGCCAATCCTGGAACACCTTGACCTTTTTTCTTTCAGGAACTTTGATGTAAAAGCTGAAATATGGGAAGTATTTCTTCTAGTGCTGTCCTCTTGAAGAATTTGCCCTCTCTTGTAGTTCTGTAATGTAATGGGCAGCACAAATGTCTTGACACCTCAGGCTGTCGATGTTGCCATTTACTCTGTAGATCTCTCGCATGCCCCCATACTGAATGTATCTCCGAACTATGATTTTTCCTTTACCAACCTTGACTAATATCTGTGAGAATCTTGGGTCTATGTGGGTTCCAATCGGCCTTCTGTAGTATTTTTGGTGATTGGGATGCAGTTCAACAGATGATTCATCAGAAAAATCCACCTTCTGCCACTTTTCCAAATGACCAACTGGAAGTCAAGTTATTATTTGTTGCTCTTACAACTGGAATCGATGACAAGACTTTTGTGAGAGAGTGTACATAACGAATTACTTCTACTAAGGCTTAGCCTTAGGCATATTTTACCACAAATGTTAAGGGAAATCTACTGCTAATTCCTACTTCACAATTTGTCCTATCATTCTGCATATAATTTTTATATCTAATTGTTGACACAGTTTACATGTAATTCTTAAATCTGGCAGCTACAGTGAGGGGAGATAATTAGCATCAATACAGTTGAATTAGAACAGAAATCAGTGCTTCACACATTTGTCTTAATTTTCTCGAAAATAATGTGTCTCAACAGGGGAGTTTGGAGAGGTGTGTAGTGGCAGACTGAAGCTGCCATCTAAGAAGGAGATCTGCGTGGCCATCAAGACACTCAAAGCTGGATACACAGAGAAACAAAGACGGGACTTTCTCAGTGAAGCGAGCATCATGGGACAGTTTGATCACCCTAACATCATCAGATTGGAGGGTGTGGTAACACGCAGTAAGTACAGTAACATTTATTCCATGCACTCACTAAAGGCAATCAGTTTGCATATCTGTTTAAAAATAAGTTCTGATTCTTTTTTTAAAAAATGCTATGTATTATTCCATGGGAGGCACGGTGGTGCAGTGGGTAGCACTGTCACCTCACAGCAAGTAGGTCACTGGTTTGAGTCTGCATTTCTGCATGGAGTTTGTATATTCTCCCCATGTTTGCTTGGGTTTACTTTAGGTACTCCAATTTCCCCCAGAAGTCCAAACATATGGGCTATAGGTGTGTTGAGTACGCTAAATGGTAGTGTATTATTGAACGAGAGTGTATGGGTGTTTTCCAGTGAATGGGTGCATCTGGAAGGGCATTTGTTGCGTAAAACATATGCTAGATAAGTTGGCGGTTCATTCCGCTGTGGTGACTCCTGATTAATAAAAGGACTAAGCTGAAAAGAAAATGAATGAATGAGTTATCCCATGTTATAGGAGAAAGATAAATGTCTTTTTGTCTTTTTACTACATCTGATATATACAACCTGTGATTATTTTCAGTGCTGTATAGTGAGTTGAATTCGTTCAGAAGATTCATTTATCATGTTTAGACTTTTTAAAGTTGTTAGTTCAGAGCTCGTCCTTCTGGGAGTATCCCATATAAAACATTAGCTGTTTCCAGTTATGGAATATTAGCGAATGTCATGATGTTGGCAAATCTCTAGCACAGAAAGCCACTGTTTTATTGACCTCTTTCTTGTAACGTTGGGCTAATGTCCAGCTCAAGAGACGATTCACAGAGGGCAGTAAATCACCTAAGGTTGTAAATCTCCCTAGATCAGTCTCTATTATGTATCATGATCAAAGCAAAACTCTCTAATCCATTCCACAAGCCTTCTCGATGGCTATGTAGTGCCATTTTCAGTTTTTCTCTAATACTAAAATATGTGAGCATAGAAAAAAAAAAGTTTTTTGACTTAATTGGACTTTATAAAGGGGTTTTTTTTCATAACAGGTAGTTTTGCTTCAAATTATACTTCAAAATGTGTACGAATTACCAAGTGCACCCGAAATATTTCATATTTGAGAGTTTAGTCACTTGAGAACATTGGTGCAGCCTGTTGTGTCCATTTGCAGTCAATTGTACTTTGTGGGTGTAAAATTGGCTGCTTATATTACATCACTTACACTGTCTGAAAAATTAAGTGATTTTAGTATCATTGTAGTCAATGTATTGTACTACTCTTCAAAGTGTTTAATGAAGTATAACAGAATTCCAAAAAAAGTCTGCTATTAATTAGACCAGTCAGTCCTCCAACAAACCCACAGCGATGTTTTCTTGGCAAGATCAAATATATGTATATATTCATTCATAAATTCATTAATTTTCACCTGCATTTCCAGAGCGTGGGTCATGGGGGCCGCAGTCTCAGAACAGAACCCCAGACTTCCCTCTCCTTAGACACTTCCTCCAGCTCCTCCGGCGTTCCCAGGCCAGCCGAGAAACATAGTCCCTCCAGCGTGTCCTGGGTCTTCCCCGAGACCTCCTCCTTTGCCTGGAAATTTATTTCAGCCGCTTGTATCTGAGATCTTGTCCTTTTAGTCATGACCCAAAGCTTTTGCCCATAGGTGAGGGTAGGAACGTAGATTGACCAGTAAATCGAGAGCTTTGCCTTTCGGCTCAGCTCCTTCTTTACCACAACTGACCGGTACATTGACAGCATTACTGCTGCCACTGCACCAATTTGCTTAGTCAATCTCACATTCCATCCTTCAGGACTGGTTGGGCATACCCCATGAACTCTCAAGCATGGTATAGAGCTGGTCCAGTGTACAAAGGCCTGAATGAAAGCGCTTTATTCCTTCTGAATCCTAGGTTTAACCTATATATACATTTGAAGAATAAGTAGCCCCCCTGGTTTTTTCACCCCCCTGTATATTTTTTCCTTCAATCTCTGTTTAACTGAGATTTTTTAAACTCAGTTTTAAACATAATAGTTTTAATAACTTATTTCTAATAATGGATTTATTTGTCTTAGCCATGATGACTGTAAGTATTATTTTACTTGATATTTTTCAAGACACTTCTATATAGCTTAAAGTGACATTTAAAGGCTTAACTAGGTTAATTAGGTTAAGGTTAGGAGTTTTAATATATTGTTTGTTTATTTTTACTTATTTTTATAGCATATTGTATTGTAATATAAATATTTTAACTTTAAATTTATTACAGCACCATTTAAATCATAATTTTTTGTTTGATTGTTTTGTTTATTTACAAATTTTAAATATGATATTTTTCATTCATTCATTTATTCAGTCATTTCTAAAATAAATATGTTTCAGTGCTTTGGTCATTTTTAAGCAAAATGCTTTAAAATGTAGTGAAAAACTTACTCTTCCCGGCAACGTTGTGCTTCATTTTACTTTAAGCAGTTTTGGAATGGAATGTAACTTTTTTCCTTTCAAGTCCGTAATTCGTCATAAAATGAGGATTATTTTGCTTGGATAAATCTTATCATGCTCACGCTTTAGCATTCTTGACTGTAAATAATGAAAAAGTTCATTTTGAATGTCAAGTGTGGCCGTTGCTTGGAAGGAACAGTGCGTGTGTGTATTTAGAGAGGTGGTGTACTTTGCGTGTGATTGAAAGTAAGTCTGGGGTGCAGAGTTTGGGCTGTGGGGCCGGCGGAGGTTGGCATGTGTCTCTTGTAGCCTCTGACGTGACATGATTTATTAACTCTGCCCTGTTAATTCTTAATAATCCAGAGACTTTCACACCCCATTTAACCTGCTGCTTTTGGCCCTACATTAGGCAAAATATTTGTAGAGCGCCAATTGCTGCTTCACAGAGATGAAGGGGCCATCATACTGATTACGAGCGGAATTTCAGGATCAAAAGTTTACAGAGTGATGTGTGGTTTTAGTCTGAGTTTTTTTTTTTTTTTCTTTCAGAAATGGTTTAATGTTTTTAGATAGACAGATAATCTAATTTGTGGATTATTTAACTAATTTTAATTATGCACATTTTACAAATATCATTCATGACAACGCTGTGCTGTCTTCTATATGGATGCTGGAACGAATGTCCAGTGAATTATGACCAGTGCAAATACATGTCGTGACAACACAAGCAGGTCATCAGGCTATTATTGATATAAAGTCATTTTATGTACATACTTTGAAATAAGGCACAGATGAAGTGCAGATGATAAAAGCAGTGATTTACAAGCAGCAGGACAGAGAATATAAAGCTGTCAGACAGTGACAGTTGACCTTGTGGTCCGTCCAAGTTCAGCTCAAGACTCTTTTCATCCTGCAGGAAACTCTCATTTACCTGAAGTCACAGTAAGTTATGGTTATGATTGCTGACCGGCGGTGTCAGAGGTGTCATGTGAAGAGCTCCGACAGCCCAGCTCTTGTTATGGCTTCAGACAATGTCTGTGAAGTGTTGAAAACCTGGTCTGTAGCCATCAACTTTATCTGTTCACCCTCTCAAACTCTATATAAAAACTGCTGCTTAACCCATAGTCTTTTATAACACCCACATGTGGCAGCGATGAGCACTGTATGAGTGAACCCTTATGAAACCTGTCAGGAAGTCATCCAGATCCGATTTCAGCCGAGAAAGGCTGTTATTTAAACTATGGTTTGGTGTTCGGCCACGATGAAGCTTAATTATCATGAAAATACTGCAGAAATCTTCTTGACATGTTTCATGACCCTTGCAGGCATAAGTCTTTTCTTGAAAGATCCAGTGTCGTCATTGAAATAACTCTGAAAGTCGTTATGCTGAGCCTATATAGCTAGGTCAAACTTATTCATGCCTTTAAGTGCATTATTTTCTTTTTGCTTGAAGATTCTACTTTCAAGATGTTTTCTTTTGTCCAACATAAGCTCATTAGTTTGCAAATTGGGTAATTTAACCTTCCTACACAAATGACACCACCGCAGCAAAGCAGAGCTCCATTCTGGCACATCTTTTCTCCATTAGACTAAGACATGTGTGAATTTTCTCTCTCTCTCCCCAGGTAAACCTGTGATGATAGTGACCGAGTACATGGAGAACGGCTCCTTGGATGGCTTCCTGCGAGTGAGTGTGACACACCGAGCGCATTTAATGAGACTCCATTATGTATGATCAGAGGAAAGGCACAGAGGGCTCATCTTAAAATCATTTAAAAACCCATCTGCGTCTTAGCTTCTTTCACAGTACCTGCTTATCACAGCATGCTTTAAATTCTCCCATGCTCGTCGAACATTTTATTCTCATTTCTACAAATAGACACAAATTGCTCTCTGCTGGCTCACCCATGTGTCTCTGTTTGCTGCGGCGAGATTGGATTTTTTGACGGTGCCTTTTGTGTTCATAACCTTGCCTAAATTCATCCCATTCACATTCATAGCCGAGGCGGAGGCCTCCTTAAATAGACAATGATACTACCTGTGTTTCAAGCACTTTGTAGTGTCAGGATTTCACTCAAGCTTGTACCACAATGGCCTCATTCTCTCACACAGAACAGACCAGGCTTGTGTTCAGAAGAAACGCTTATAGAGAGCGGATTCGCTTGCATTTTCGCAGACTGAAATGGCACTGGGGAGACTGGCATTCAGCCTGCCAGCCCAGCAGTGCCAGTTAAACAGACTGGGCATGTTCTGTCCTTCAGATGACTTCCCCTTAGCCCATCGCTCGCGCTGTGAAAATAAACAAGCAAACAACAGGCTGTGGGATGGCCCATCTGAAAAGTGCTGATAAATGCGCTAATGAGCTCATTAAATGGGTCAGTTTAACCTTTGGCTGCAGCCATCCTGCCTTGGCTCTAATACACCTGACATATGAATTTATCAGCCTTGTGTCATTTTTCAACAGTTTACCACCAGCAAGGCGTGCCAGACAATCTGCTATTTGTACAACAAAAGGATCACCCTACAAATTGATGTATAGCTTGAAGCACATAAAAAAGAAATAAATACAGAAATGAAAACTGAAATGAGGGGAAATGGTTGCAGGAGTGCAACCTTATATATAGAATTTCTCAACATGGTTTAGAAGTGCTTACACATATGAGAAAAAATATTTTATCATCCTTTAAAATGTAAACATCATAAACAGTTACATATTATAATGTTAAGGGGGTTGCACACTGCATGCCCCGCTCATCGACGTGACATGGCATGCACATGACAATTGAAAGTATCACACACTAGGTGCGCAAATTTGAAAGTATCACACACCAGGCGGGTACATTCGCATGTTATTTAAAATGAAAGGATTCAGATGACGTTCTGTGGCAAGGCAGAACAATGTCCTGAAGGGGGTTGCACACTGGATGCACCACTCGGCGACATGACGTGTCGCGCCACGTATCGCCATGCGTTTTAGAATTCTAAACATAAATTTTTATCAGTGTACGCACACTGGAGCCACAAGTCGGCGGCTGTCTGTGCCACCCAGCAACAACTCAGGACACTGTTCATATTTCTGCCACGCCATAGTGCCATCTGAATAGTTTCATTTTAAATAACATGTGAATTTGCTCGTTTGGTGTGTTTTACCTTCAACTATCATGTTCGCACCGTGTCGCTGTGCTGAGCGGCGCATCCAGTGTGCGACCTGCTTAAGTTGTAGCTGGGCACCGAGGACGGCAGCATCGGTGTGCATATCCTAATAAAAATCTATGTTTAGAACTTTAAAATGAGCGGCACATCTGGTATATTTACATGATTTTTACATATAAGTGAAAATTTGTGTGGAACTCCTTTTTTCACATAATCCTAAGAGACAGACCAATTACAGAATAGCACCCATGACTAATATACACTATTTGTATGGGAAAATAATTTGAAAGGTAAATTCTAAAAAATATTATTAAAATTAAAAAGGAAGCTGCTTATATTGACAAGGACTAATTAGAAAATATTATTTCAACACATTCCTAAATAAAAGTTTTAATAACTCATTTATAATAACTGATTTATTTTATCTTTGCCATGATGACAGTAAATAATATTTTACTAGATATTTTAGAAGACCCTTCTATACAGCTTAAAGTGACATTTAAAAGTTTAACTAAGTTAACAATGCAGGTTAGGGTAATTAGGGAAGTTATTGTATAGTGATGGTTTGTTATGTAAACTATACAAAAAAAAAAAAAAAGAAAAAAACCTGAAAGAGGCTTTTGCTAGACATTTAAAAGTAGAGTAACAGTTGCATTGAATAAAAAAAAAGAGTATGCAAGGGCATATTATTAAAACAACCTGAGCAAACAAGGCATGGAATTAGCAGGACCTACATGAACTGTGTTCCACTTGTGTCTGCACAGGATCCCACTCCCAGAAATAAGAAAAAAAAAAGTTGCAGTGTTCTGCAGCAATTTCCTGCACACTGCAGCCTGGCCTGCACTCTATCAAAGAGATCTGTCATCCTCCCTCGAATGCGTTTCCTTGCCACTGCTCATGTCACTATTATTAGCATGCCTTTGAACCTCTCCGAGCTCCTTTCTCTTCCAGGTGGTCCAAGGTTTATTTTCATCTAAACTTAGTTTGTATGCAGTATTCGTAAACATGCACATAGAAAGAAAGTAAAAATAGGGTGGACAGAGACACGGAATGAGAGAGAGAAAGAGAAAAAACTCTTACCGAACAACTAGACAAAATGTTCAAAGAGAAATAAAAATCTGGGTGTTGACTTTATTGATAACAAAATTTAATATACATTAGTCAATACTCCAAAAAAAAAAAAAAAAAAAACTTTTAAACTGCAAGACTTTTTTAATGGGTTAAACATGGGACAGTATTTTATCACTCACAAAATAAACTGTTCTGAATTAAATCTGAAATTTTACATTTACTCTAGACATGCCTCTTAAGGACATCTCATTTCATATTTTATTCTGAATTATTGTGTGTTTGTATTAAAGCTAAAATCTCTAGTTTACATCAGGCTTTTATTACATATAGAGTTGAAAGCAATTTTTTTGCCCTATATATATAATTCAATATTATTAGCCTCCCTGAATTAGGTTTCGCTAAATTAAAATCAATTGATTTGATTATTTTACAAACCATTGGTTGTCATCATCTACAGAACAAACCACTGTAATCTATACACTTTATTAACCTACACTGTAAAAAATATCTGTGAACTGACAGTTTTTCAGTTATTTGTGATTCATGTTTTTTTTTTTTTTTTTTTTTTAGAATAAGAAGAGTAGATTTTTCAACATCAAAAGTCGACAGAGCAGAGAACATTATCCCAAAATGCAATTCACAAACGTAAATAAATGAAAAACACAAAATGCAGAAAGTGTTAATTGTGTATATTGGCAACTAGTTAACTTAATGATCTTGTTAAACATTTAAATTGCACTTTAGGCAGAATACTAGTAACTTGCAAAATAATGTCATGAAATCAAAGACAAAAGAAGTTAGTTATTAGAAATTAGTTATTGAAACTAGTATGTTTAAAAAATGTCTTGGAAAATCTTCTCTACATTAAATAATCAAAACATTCAAAGCAAATCTCATAAGATGTAATAACATATCTAACAGACCCTTTTCACATATCTGGGTTTTTTTAGTAGCGGAAGTCGTCATAGTTGGAAAAACTTATAGCGCTGTGAATGGGAGACTGCAACAAATATTTTTTTTACAATCTTATTTTTTCATTTAATAAAATAAAAACTAAATTAAGTTCTAATATGTTCTTCAGAATTTTACTATATGAAGAAATAAAGTCATGAAAATGAATGCAAATCATTATGGGAGTGCTATACCTTTAAGACCGCAGTTTGCCTGCTTGTGGTATAGAAAAGCATTTCTCCAAAGCTCCCTGACAAATCAATGCTATCTCACTCATCCGGCCAGTCTCTCCCTCTCTTACTGAAGCGCTTCCTTCCCTGGTGTTTATCTCCAAGTCCTGAGCATATCATTCTTCGTATAAAAGGCCTATTCACACGCACCAGTGTAAACACCGTGAGCCTGCCAGTGGGCTTCAGTTCAGATATGCAGTCGGCGATGGGTTCTTGTGTACATCCCATTTATATTCTTCAACAAGTTGCCACACACCAGAAAAACCAGAAAAGACAGTCAAACGTTCCTAAACATTCAAGGATCTGCTACTCTTAGCAAAATGATTCCATGAGTTGTGAGATGACTGGGAAATATTCAGGCAGTGTTTTGTAGATATGAGTCATCAAAAGTCCCTTTGTGTTTTGTAAAGCATAGCATGAATTATGTTTATACAGTAGACATTAAACACCTTATTTGACTTTTCCCTTCTTCCCATCTATGTCAGAAACACGACGCCCAGTTCACAGTGATTCAGCTGGTGGGCATGCTACGTGGCATTGCGTCTGGGATGAAGTATCTGTCGGATATGGGTTACGTGCACAGAGACCTAGCCGCTCGGAACATCCTGGTCAACAGCAATCTAGTGTGTAAAGTGTCAGACTTCGGCTTGTCCAGAGTGTTAGAGGATGACCCAGAAGCGGCCTACACAACAAGAGTAAGTTAACACCTGTAGGAACAAGGAGAGTTTTTTTTTTTTTTGTTTTGTTTTGTTTTTAAATAACAAGCCAATATTCTCTTTCAACATAAAGTTAAAGCTTATACCAGTAAAACTACTGGTATAATTTTTGATTTTTTTTTTATTAGTGCAATCAAATGATTTTCTGTCATAAATGTCCTTATACTGTGTATTTATAACTTACTTCACATACATACTGTACATAAAATACACAATATGTAAAAACAAAACTCACACATTTATACAGTATACACATTTTAAACATAGTTTTTTAAGAACTAATTTCTAAAAACTAATTTATTTTATCTGCAATAATCACAGTAAATATATTTATACTTATGTTACTTTGTAGATACTAATAGTCAGCCTAAAGTGCAATTTAAAGGCTTATTATGTTAACTAAAAAAAATAAAAACATATATATATATATATATATATATATATATATATATATATATATATATATATATATATATATATATATATATATATATATATATATATATATATATATATATATATATATATAGAGAGAGAGAGAGAGAGAGAGAGAGACAGACAGACAGACAGACAGACAGACAGACAGACAGACAGACAGACAGACAGACAGACAGACAGAGAGATAGATAGATAGATAGATAGATAGATAGATAGATAGATAGATAGATAGATAGATAGATAGATAGATAGATAGATAGATAGATAGATAGATAGATAGATAGATAGATAGATAGATAGATAGATAGATAGATAGATAGATAGATAGATAGATAGATAGATAGATAGATAGATAGATAGATAGATAGATAGATAGATAGATAGATAAGGATGGTCTGTGAATTGCGAAGCACCAAATAAATGCTGTATTTCATGTTGTTTTCCTAAATTCAAAAGTAAACAATCATTCATTTTCTTGTCAGCTTGTTTAGCTTAGGGCTAATAATTCAGGGAGGTTAATAATTCTGATTGCAACTGTAATACAAATACATTTACAATTTTTTATTATTATTATTTTATTATTATTATTAAAATGATGTTTAACTGAGCAAGGACATATTTACAGTATGTCTGGTTAAAAAAAAAATTCCTCTGGAGAAAGTCTTATTTGTTTTATTTTGGCTAGGATAAAAGCAGTTTTATTTATTTATTTTTATTTTTTTTTTAAGGTCAACATTATTAGCCATTTAAGCTATATTTTTTAGCCCCTTTCTCATTATTAGCCCCTTTAACCTTCACAATTTTACAATCACTTGCCAAATTACCCTAACCTTAACCTAATTAACCTAGTTAAGCCTTTAAATGTGACTTTAAGCTGTATTGAAGTGTCTTCTATAAAATATGATTTACTGTCACAGCAATGATAAAATAAATCAGCATTTGAAAATTAGCTCTTAAAACTATTATGTTTAGAAATGTGTTGAAAAAAATATTCTGCTTTAAACAGAAACTGGGGAAAAAATAAACAGGGGGGTTAATAATTCAGAGAGGTTAATAATTCTGATTGCAACTGTAATACAAATACATTTACAATTGTCCCCATGTTTCTGTCAGTCCTGACACATTTGCATTAAATTTTACATAAAATATGTGCAATACATCTTTAAGACTCAGAAGTGACATCATTTGACGGAGAAGAAGCTGACATAGACCCAAGATGTGTTCTATTGTTGAATTGTATGATTTTATGCTATTTTTATTATGACAAGTCAGGCCCTGTCACATTTGAGAAAATGTACGTTGCTGGTAGAATGTCCCATACAAGTACAATGTAAATATAAACATTTATTTTTATCTGATTAATCATGATAAAAAAACATTTTATTTTTAAATAAGACCTACACGAATTTACACTGGACAAGATGCTTGACTAGTTAACTGGATGTATCTGTTTAACGGGTTTATTCATTCAAAATAAAGGGAAAGAAAGTATTCTGAGGTTTTATTGTCACAATTTGCATTTTTTAAGTATTAAATGTTTTATATATGGCTGTTCGTTCTGCTGTGGCGACCCCTGATAAGAAAGGCACTAAGCCAAAGAAAAACGAATAAATGAATGTTTTACTATTTTAATTTTTTGGATATTAGTACTTTTTAATAGACTTTAACATAATATCAGAAGCAATTATACATTTTTTCATGAAAAGAACTTCAAAAGTAAAAAAAAATTGCTTTAATTTAAAATAAAATGTCTTTACTGCACCATTATTTATAATAAAGCACAAGGTATAAACGTTTTATGGGTTACATAGGACTTAAGCAGGCCTGCCCAATTCTGTGCAAATCTGCAAAGCACATTTCCTGTGTAACCTGCCTATGCTTGACCAATGTAGCTCACTGTCCCTCTCAGCCAGCCAGTCAAATCTTCGTTCCCTGGCATTAATAACCATATTTGTCACTCTCTTCCCTTAAGAGCAGCATTCATTATCAGAAGAGATAACTAATGCCTAAATACACTTAGAGGCAGGCATAAATTCACAGCATGAGGGGTTTAAAGAAATATTGCTGCTTAAATTACCAATACAAGTGTCACCCAGCATAAGTGTTACACTGATAAATGGATAAATGAGAAGGAAGTCCAACATGTTATTAGTTGGATAAACCCAAATTTGTAGGGTTTTACATGTGTCCAAAAGCCAGTATAAATGTGTGTTTTCACAGTTACAGCGAGACCCCCCACCATATCATAATGCGGCTACGAGAACTTTCGCCACCCCCTTTTATTAAAGCTAAAGGATACATTGTGTCACATTTTACATTCATTAGCAGTGATCTTGCAGGGACTATTTGTACGCGCCCAATAGGGAGGCCCGTGCACAAGTGGGTTTATTTTTTAAAGACCTTGTGTTTGGAGAATGTGGGGTAGGAATTGTGTGACTTGGCCAGGTTGCTAGTTGGCTTTGGCTCTACCCTGTTCTCTCTCAGTCTAGCTCCTTCATGAAGGTTGAGTGTAGAGTTACTCCAGCAGCCGAGCTGGAAAAATACAATGCAGGTCCTCAGAGAGAGATGACCTGAGAAGAGACGAGAGCAGGATCAATGAAAAAGGTGGCATACTGCGAACCATGAGGAAAAATTTAACAGGAGGAATAAGAGCACTCATATATACAAATAAAATAAATATATATATTTAAATAATTAAATTAAACTAAATTAAATTAAAATTAATAATAGTATAGCTTAATATATGAAATGTGACCTTTTGTATAAAAGAACAAGGTTTTTTTTTAAGCAATCAAAAATTTTAAATGAGGTAATCTATTACTTGAAGGTATAAACCTATTGGGCGTTTATATATTGAACACAAAGAAATTTGGAACTAGTCCCTTTCTGATACTAATTCATAAGGACAATGTGTAAATATATGTAGAAAAATTGAAAATGTAAATATATTTTTTATTATTTATTTTTTAGTTTTTAGTTTCAGTATGTTAGTTTTAAGTATATCTATTAAATATTGTGCTCCAAAACAGTTATAAAATTTGTGTTTAGAAGAAATAAAACACATATAAACATGTAAAATTTGCAGTCTTTCACTTCCATCTAAATCGATCAACATTTTTTTAAAAAACTCTTTATTTAGATGGTCCATTTGAGTATTAGTAGACTGTCTGCAAAATATCTGTTGATACTGCTGCTAAACAGACATTTAACTGACTATAAGAAACTTAGCTAGTACCTGTCAACTTACACTAACCATAACTCCAACCTCACCGTCTAATCAGTTGGCATGTAGATGCAATGTAACTCAAATTCGACAAATGCACCATGAAAAAATGTGTGACCCGATTTTTTTCACATCACCTCATATTACAATTTTGCATTCAATCTTGACCAATCAAATACGCTCTATCATCTGACATGTCCCGCCCCCTTTAAGAAACTTTTCAAATGATGCGCTTGAGCTCCACTGCTCTCACTCGCAGCTCTATGATAAAATGAAACGCTATTGAATGTTTTTTAATGAGGAAGGGCTACTCCATTTCCCACCCTCTCTACATTTTTCAGTTGAGATTACGTCAAACATAGAAAATATGCACAAAAAATGCACATTTCAAAGCACTTCACAGGATCTTTAAACTAAGTCCTCAGAATGTATTTTTATTGATCGTACTTCTTGTGCTTTAGTACCTTATAACACACTGTTTGTTTAGCAAACACACTTGTTTTGTTTAGTTTGTTTACAGTGTGTTAGGCTATGTTTCTAACTGTAATTTGCTCATTATTATGTATGTGGTTGTAGTGGACAAAGTACTCAACTTACATGCATAGTAGTACAAATAGTACAAATACTACAATAGTACAAAAAAAAAATCTGCTTTAAAAGTATAAAGTCTTAATTTTTACTTGAGTGACAGTTCAAAAGTACTTATAATGCACTTAATGTACTTTAAAGTATTTATTGATGCAGCAAAAAATAAAAAATAAAAATCCTAATTTGGGCCCTATCATACACCCGGCTCAATAAGGCGCAAGTATTTGAGGCAATTGTTGCTATTTTCAGACCAGCGCAACCCTAAATTTCGAAACCTTAAATATTACGTTGTTTAAATAGCAAATCTATTTATGCCACTTTGTGGACTCATGGGTGTGCCATAACGCCCCATTCACACAAGACTTCAGCGTCAACGCTTGACTGAAGGCGTGTCTGAACTTGGGGCTGAAGCGATCATCATAGCAGCGTCAGCCAGTGATATTCAGTCAGCAATAGGCCACTGTCTAGCTGGTGTATTTGCATACAGGGATCTGATTGGCTGAAGCTTGCGTCGGCGCTTGAAAAGTTGAGCTAGTCCCAACTTCTGCAACAAGCAACGCCTCTGAAGCGGCGCCAATGGATCCACAATTAAGGAGATGTGTTAAGGCACATTGTTGGCACGTTGCTATTTTGGGGAAATAGCCTGTGCTATTTGTTCAATTTACATTATGATTGGTTTAATTTTTTCAGTCCTTAAAATCGCTATTTATTAATTTATTAAACAGATATATTTATTAAAATAATATTTATTTGCTAAACATATTTAGAAATTAAAAGACAATACACTTCAATTCAAGCTAAATATTACGAAAATATTACAATCTTCAAAAATTCTATCAATTGTTTTGCTTCTTGATTTTTCCTCTTTTTAAAATTTTTATTTAATATTTTTCTATACCATATAAATTTGGCTGAACTAGTTTTTGGACAATTATCGTACGTTTTTTTGTTAGATAAGCCCCAGATTTGGCTTCAGTGATGACTAATGTAATGTATATGCACAAATATAATATTGTATAGCTTTCTATTAAAAACATGAATTTAAAAGATAGATTTGTGAGGGGTGTACTTATATATGCTGAGCGCTGTAAAGTGAAGATACTAAAAACCTGTATACTTAAAGGGATAGTTCACTCAAAAAAAAAAAAAAAATTTTACTCACTATTTACCTCAAGTGGTTCTATACCTTAGTGAGTTTTTTTTAGCTTTCTTTAAAATATCTTACTTTGTTTTTAACAAAAGAATTAAATTCATGAAGATTTGAAACAAGTTTGAAACAACAAATTGGTGACTAAATAAAATTTTTTGAGTGAACTACCACTTCAAGTAGGTTTAAATATAGTGAAGTTAAAAAAATGTAACTGTCCAACACATATTGACCCAGGTACCCTTGCACTGGCAGTGAATTTCTGAATGATGTATCTAAACAACATTTGCACTGATACTTTCTTGAAAATAATTATTTTGTTATTGACTTAATTCCTTAAGAATTTATTTTTAAACATGTTGAACCCTTACATAACCCAAAAAGTATCCTTAAAGAAAAAGATTTGTTTTTTAATGTTTTTATATTTTAAATCATCTGAACATGTACGTTGTATGTGTACATTTTAATAAATTGTTTCACTTAAAACTCAAGTTCTAATGCTACCTTATTAGAGCTTGTTTGTTTAGAATTTCATTCATAAGATGCCACTGTCAGAAATTCGACACCATACATATGTCTTGATTTAAACTCCGCTGCACACAAATTACACTATCTGGCATCTGAAAGTTAGAGTATGTGCTTGTTATTCCACTAATTGTAAAAATATTTGTTTGAATATTGCCACAGATGGCAAAATTTTCCCTGACAGATGGTTTTTGTCTGTTTACAGGGTGGCAAGATTCCAATCCGATGGACTGCGCCAGAAGCCATCGCCTATCGCAAGTTCACCTCAGCCAGTGACGTATGGAGCTATGGGATTGTGCTATGGGAGGTCATGTCTTACGGAGAAAGGCCTTATTGGGAGATGTCCAATCAGGACGTGAGTAAAACGACTGTCAGCAAAGAAATCCAACATCTTCCTTGCCAAAATATAGCAGTGTGGCATATGTTCAGAGGTCGATTTGATTTGAAAAGCTTTCAAAAATGCACATTTTATATTCCACAGAAAGAAAGAAAACGGCATGAAAATGAGCCCTTAAATAAACTTTTAAATAAGGGATATGTAATGTTAGTTAATGTATTTATTAACATGAGCAATGCTTGTACTGCATTTTCTCATTATAGTTTAACTTTTACTAATAAATTACCACCCCTGTGCTTAATAACATTAGTTAATGCACTGTGAGTTAACATGAAGAGTGAACAACTCATAGTTAATTACTTGTTCATGCTAGTAAATACATGAACGAATATTATCTACATGCCCCATGTTGTAAAGTGTTACCCACTTATCAAATGATGTGATTTATATTTACATGATTTACACTGTGTTTATTTACAAGCATATAGTTTAGAATCAAGAGCAACTTTCTGCTTCTCATCTCTGTATGTCCTGTTAGGTTAACATGCATCTAAATGTGAATACAGCATGCATTTTAGCTACAATTTCACACAATTTCCAACAATTGTACAAAGAAAATGTTATAAATAGCATTTTGTCAAATAAAATTGCACATTTAAACGGGTAAATTGTAAACAAGCAAATGCATTAAGATATTGACCTCAAAACAAAGATGGGACATTAAGTAAATGATTTACAGTACATCTAAGGCAGGGGTCTTAAACTCAGTTTACCTGGGGGCCGCAGTCTAACTGAGGCTGGGCAGCATAAGGTTTTCCATAAGAAAAACTTTGTAAAAAAAAAAATAAAAAAAAAAAGCCAATATTTTCAAATCTTTTAATTTTTATTTTTTTTAACACAAAATAAGCTGTAAAATAAGCAAATTAAGAAAAAAAATAAAATAAATCAATCAGTAATAAATAGTAGTAATAATATCAATAATAATAGTAGTAGTAATAATAATAATAATAATAATAATAATAATAATAATAATGATTACTATTATTATTATTATTATTATTATTATTATTATTATTATTATTATTATTATTATTATTATTGATGTTGTTGTTGTTGTTATAGTAAAATAATAACAACAATGATAATAATAATAATAATAATAAAAATTATTATTATTATTATTATAGTAAGAATAATAATAATAAGAAGAAGAAGAAGACGAAAAAGAAGAAGAAGAAATATTTACTGTTATTCGCTGTCCTGTTGTTACAAGAAAAAGAAGTAACAGTATGTCTTTTTTTGACTACTTTTACAAAAATAGAAATATATGTAATGTTAATTGTGTCAGGCAATGTAAATACATTAAAAATAGCGCCATAAAATAAATTATTATTACAAATGAGTTACTAAAACTGTTGTTTAGAAATGTGTTGAAAAAATCTTCTCTCCGTTAAACAGAAACGGAGCTAATAATTCTGACTTTAACTGTTTATATATATATATATATATATGTGTGTGTATGTATGTATGTATGTATGTATGTGTATGTATGACTGTATACTATATTAAATGACATTATTTCACTCGATTGCACAAAAATTCATCATTGTATAAACTTTATTGTCTTGCAAAAGATATACTATGTGAAGTTATGTAGACAATAAATGATGTGAAGCACAGAAAAAAAATAAATAAATAAAAAATAGCGGCATGCAAATATCAAGCCTAGCTGATGTCCAGCCCCCTGAGCCATATACCCCACCGTGATTGGTAGGTTTCTTTAGCTCCGCACACAAACACTGTATAAAGTGCCATACATATCAAACTCGCAGGTCGCACTCAATAAACTTTCAAATTAAGGCGGGGACCACAAGCTATCATCCCACGGATCGCATTTGACCTGCAGGCCACGAGATTGAGACCACTGATCTAAGGGCAAAGAAAGAAAAATTTAATCTAGTGGAGTAAAATGTAGTGATGTGGGATAAGAAAATAATTCAAGAATTTTCAGTTCTGGATGAACAATATTATTTAACGAGCAAGACTATTCTTGGTCAGCCACCCACTAAGTTCGTTCTGGTTAGACCATTTATACTGATCTAATTGTTAGCTATTAATTGCTAGCTATACACAACCAGCACAAGGAGAGTGAAAACATACTTTTTGATTCACAGAGCCAAGAGAAACTATTGTATTATATGATACAGGAAGATAAGAATGAGCAATGTGTGGAATTGTGGTAAATTTGTAGTGGTTCATTATGAAGTCTTGTTGTGTCGACATTGTTATTAGTTCTTTATGGCTGACCCTGAGCAGTGGCCTCGTTGCTGCAGTTCAGCAACTTCACCCTGAGCAAATACGATCCTAAGAGTTTATTTGAACTGGCTTGTGGCAGTGCTGATGATCAAGTGATGAAAAGCAAAAGGGAGCAGCAATTTTAGGGCACTTATGAGGCAATTGATTTTTTAACATTGCATGGACGGAAGTGCTTTATTTTTGTTTTAACGTACTTGATGGTGAAAGTTGACAGGCAAGGAAGAAAAACGTCCTGGGGAAATTGAAGAAAATAGTAAATGATAGTGCCTCGTCCAAAATATGGAAATTTTGACATCAATTACTCACCCATAAGTTGTAAAAGTTCTTCTTTGAAACACAAAAAGAGATATTAATATGCAGTCACATTAAGTGCATTTACATGAATCTAAATGTGATTATAATGGCATTTTAGCAATATTGACGTCTAAACACAGTAATTCAGCATTTTTTATAAAATAATCATATGAACAGACTGTAGGTGATAGACACTGATTTTAATCAAAGTATGCAGGCAAGTAAACATTAACTTCAATTCATTCAAATTTATGTGTGTCGTGCTTTTTACAATAATTATTGTTTTAAAGAAGCTTTATAAGGTACACACTGTTGCACACTGTTGCATTACAATCAAATATAAATTATTATATACAGGTTAACCTCCAATTTTAAATGACATACAATTGAAGTCAGAATTATTAGCCCCCCTCCCCCCACCTTATTTTTTTCTCCAATTTCTGTTTAACGAAGATATTTTTTTCAACACATTTCTAAATATAATAGTTTTAATAACTCATCTTAATAATTGATTTATTTTATCTTTGCTATGATGACAGTAAATAATATTATTCTAGATATTTTTCAAGACACTTCTATACAGCTTAAAGTGACATTTAAAGGGTTAAGTAGGTTAATTAGATTAACTAGGCAGGTTAGGGTAATCAATCAAGTTATTGTATAATGATGGTTTGTTCTGTAGACTATTGAACAAAATTTGCTTAAAGGGGCGAAAAATTTTTCTCCTTAAAATAATGTTTAAAAAATAAAAAAATGCTTTTATTCTAGCCGAAGTAAAACAAATAAGCCTGTCTCCAGAAAAAAATAAAAAATAATAAATAAATAAACATTATCAGACATACTGTTAAAATTTCCTTGCTCTGTTAAATTTACAAACGAAAAAAAGTGTATTTGTGTATAAGGTGTATGTGTTGTCCTGGAAGTCCTCGGTGGTTGGGATCATCTCTTCATCAGTGTATGAGTGTATGATGTACCAAGCCCTTTTAAAGCAGTTTGCTGTCTCTTAGTCCTCAGTTGGCACTTCAACATAATTACGGACTTATTTGGAGGCAAACAACTTCACACAGCTCCATAAATGATAATGATGTGACATTCTGTCATTTTCAAAATCGCTGAACTCACATGCTCCGGCATTTACAAACGGCACACAGAACGTGACGCAAGCACAGGCAAACCCATCACATTTCTATGGCACTGAAAAGTATTCGTAACTATAAATAAAACAATACAAAAGTATTTTGAACTAGATGTCAACAAATTAAAACAGCAGCCAGTATTACACTTATTCTTTTTGAGTCCATCATTTGTGCTTTGCAGTAGGGTCTGTGAATTAATTAAATAATTTTTCTTTAGCTTAGTGCCTTCATTTATCAGGGGTCGCCAAAGTGGAATGAACCACCAACTATTCCAGCATATGTTTAACTCTGCGGATGTCCTTCCAGCCGCAACCCAGCACTGGGAAACACACATACACTCTCGCATTCACAGATACACAGTACACTTCAGTCAATTAAGCTTTTTCAAAGCTTATGACATATACCATATGTCTTTGGACTGTGGGGAAAGCTAAAGCAGAAGAAACCCATGCAAACATGGGGAGAGCATGCAAACTTCACACAGTAATGTCAAATGACCCAGCCTGGGCTCGAACTAGCTTGCTGAACCTTCTTGCTGTGAGACGACAGTGCTTACCACTGAGCCATTGTGCCGCCCCAGGTATGTGAATTACAGCAGTAAAAAATAACCACATTTCTTGGGGAATAATATGAATAATGTAGCTTAAACAAGATTGAAGAGCTGAAGTGTAAACATCATAACATGCTTATGTTTTTACTTATTATGTGACATGATCACATTAGTTGTTTGCATGTAAGCATAGTCAATGTGTACCAACATAATCCATTCATTTCAATAGGTATCAACATGGAAAATGTGTGAGGGTAAAGGACTTACAGCAGGATTATTCTGAATCTGCAAATCACTACCATTTTAAGCAGAATGTTGCTAGGTTTGCTTTGTTGACAATAAAAAATATATAACCAACCTCATATGAAGAATTTAGATACAAAAGTCTCTAAAATGTACAAAATCAAACTTAAAGTACTCAGAGGTAGCTTAAATTATGTGTCGGTGCTCCTTGGGTAAGGAATTCATCAGAATAAACAGCAGAAATCACTTCAAGGTACAAGAAAAGTGTGGAAAAACAAATTTTATCCAGTGCCTTGGACTAATTTTTGCTGTTTTTTTTCCCTAAAATGTTCTTCTAAAATGAACATTTTTCTCAGCCTCTTTTGTTTATGTCCTATTAGTTCACTTTATATGAACTTACTCACTGCGGTAAAAGTGAAATTGAACCTACACAGAGAAACCTAAGAAAAATGCTTGCTTTAGAAGTAAGATTCAGAATTTGCTTCATATAAATCTCTGATTTTTAACTTGATAATTATTTTTTTCCTCAGGTAATAAAAGCAGTGGATGAAGGATATCGTCTTCCCCCACCCATGGAATGCCCTGCCACACTTTACCAGCTAATGCTAGACTGCTGGCAGAAAGACAGAAACAACCGGCCGAAATTTGAACAGATTGTCAGCATTCTGGACAAGCTTATCCGCAACCCTAGCAGTCTGAAGATCACAGCCAGCACTGCTTCCAGGTACAGCACATCACATATTTTACACCCAGTAAGACAGTCGCCTACATGCTTGGTCCTCATTTACAGTAAAAAGGAAAAGTTTCTCTTGTTTACTATAATTTGTGTCTTCCCCTTAGGTCTCGATTCATAACACACTCATATGTCTGGTCACGTACAGTTATGACTAAGAGCTCAGTATTTTCTGCAGATTATTTTTGCTAGACAAAATCTGTTTATTTTTGGAACCAGTTTGCAGAGACTTTGACTGACAATGTTTGTGATTATTATTTGCTGGCATCCTGTTTCTCCAGTATCCAGGATGCAATACTAATGTTGCTGGAAGTACTGTAAACAAGAAGGTCAAAAGTATGTGCAGTGGACAGCACTTCTGGTTATTAGCTTGAGCAAGACCTTGATTCCAGTGGAATCCTGTACATGATATTCTAGATCTGTGTACTTTGTGGTAACAGTCTGGGGAAGGTCTTTTTTGTGTTCCAGCATGACACAACTCCTTTGCAAGGTCTATTTTGAAATGTTTTAACACGTTCTGTTGTGGAATAATTTGAAGGTTCTTTACAAAGTCCAGATTTGAACCCTATAAATCCTCTATGGTTTAAACAACAGCTGTAAAAACGAAGCTAGATCTTATCCCTAAGTATGTTTGCCCTCGTTCTTCGCTCATAGTTTATATTATATTATATTATATTATATTATATTATATTATATTATATTATATTATATTATATTATATTATATTATATTATATTATATTATATTATATTATATTATATTATCGTTTTGTAAAATAAAGTTTTCCTCATTCTGATATTGCCAGACAGTGAATTTATTTTCATAATCCAGACTTTATCTGTAGTCTTGTATAAGGATTTGGCAGTCATGGTACTGCAGGGGTCTGGTAATTATTTTATGGCATTAAAATAATTTTGAGAAAAAAGAACAGATGCAAACATTCATTAATTTATTTTCTTTTTGGCTGAGTCACTTTATTAATCAGGGGTTGCCACAACGCATACAACTGCTTACTTATCCAGCAAAAGTTGGATGCCCTTCCAGCCGCAACCAAACACTGGGTAACACCCATATACTATTGCATTCACATACATACACTATAGCCAATGTAGCTCATTCAATTCCCATATAGCGCATGTTTTTGGACTATGGGGGAAACCAGAGCACCTTGAAGAAACCTACGCGAACACGAGGAGAACATGCACAACATGCAAAACTCCACACACAAATGCCAACTGACCCAGCCGGGGCTTTCGAACTTCTTGCTGTGAGGCGATCATGCTACCCACTGCACCATTATGAGGATTTTTAAAATATAATATTGACTGTCAAGGATAACTAGGTTTTTTAATTAAATATTTAATATTTAATATTTACACATTTACTTCATAGATGATATGAGTGGAAATTAATAAATTTGGTCAAAGATTTGTACTATTAAAATATTTTCTAATAATTGCAAACCTTGTAGTATTAAATAAGTACATTTTTAAGTACATTTTAATAAGTACATTAGTTTGAAGATTGAGAAGTTTTTTGAATATATTTTTGGTATTGTTGTTGTTGTTCAATTTGCATAAAATAAAGTGAAATAACACATTTCAAATGGAAATGTGTGTCTTAATTAAACCAATTAACACCAAGTGTACTAATTTGTAACTAATAAGGTTTATTTAAATCAATAAAAGCAAGGTTTCCTCTGCTAAAACAAGAATTTGGTTCATTTAAAAAAATATACATTCAAAAGTAAAGACAATCAATTAACATTTTCTTGATGTTTAACCTAACACTCCTAAATGAATTAAATAAATTTTACATGATATTGGAAAGTTAATTGTGCGTGATATAAAATAGCAAAATTTACTTGCAAATTGTTTCTAGGCTTTTTAAAGTAAATTTTATTTTTATTTTTTATTTCAGTGTAACTTTTATTTCCTGGTTTTGTTCCGGGAATTATTCATTTGCAAATTAAGCACTGGCTATACTGTTTATTAAAAATCAATATTACAATACTGTACCATCTGAAATTTATATAAGGTCTTGAGGCTTTAAATTTGATCATTCCCTATTTTGTTGCAAGATTTCTTCCATAGTCATGGTTGCCTCATGTGGTGTGGACATAAGTAGTATAACCAGGAGCTCTATTAATATGAAGTATGGAACAAAGACTAATGGTTTCTTAAGAAAGTGAAAATGGGTCCCAGGGAGTTTGCATGTAATTTTCCTGATTGGCTTTTAACATGGCTGATCAGGGGACCGGCAAGTGATTTATTGCTCTCCGGGCGAGACACACTTCGAGGTCCCGCTGCCGCCGGTCTGCAGCCACAGCTGCGTCCAAAACCTTGCACCTCATTTATCTACATGCCCTGCATGTTAATGGAGCGGCACTTCAGCCATTCTCATGGAGGCACCCTCTGCCTAAAGGCGAGACCCCTTTTATACCAGAGCAATGTGGTGCAGATGCTCGGAAGTAAAATGTCGGCACTCTCAGGACAAGAGAAGGTGCACAACCCAAGAGCCTCCTCACAGCAAGAGCTGCATTTTTGTCCGTGACAAACCTACGCAGATGTTGCTACGTGAGGAACGTCCTCCCTCCTTTTCCATCCCAAGAGAACTTTAAAAACATGATACTAAGCAGCCTCGGTTATTTAGAGGTCACTACACAAGAGGGGAGAGAGGAAAGCAAAAGAAAAGAGAGGGAACCAGCAGAGACCTGTGTGTTTACCTCTTCTTCCTCTCCCTCTGGTCTGTTGTGCTCCTGTCGAGTGATGGCTCAGATCTCTGACGCCAGCAGCTGATGCAGTCAAAGAGTTTAAGTTATCACTTCTATAACCCGACAACAAAGAGTATTCTACACGTCAACTGAATGTTTCTTTTCCACCTTGCAAGAATAAGGCAATACCTTAGAACATTAGTGTGGTAAATCAAAAATTTAAGTTAAAGGGGTAGTTCACCCGAAATAAAATTGTATTCACTATTTAGTAATTCTGAACCATTGCTTTTGTATTCTCTTGAAGTTATTTAAAGAAAACTGAAAACATGTGACCATCTAAAGACTATGTATGTAAATGCTTACAGGTTTCCAGCTTTTTTCAAAATATCTAAGTTTGTCATTAACAGAAGGTCAAGAAAAAGGGTGAGTGAATCCATTTTGGTTTTGGGTAAACCAACACTTTAATGTTCTTACTAGATCCTGTTTTCAGGTCTTACATCACATTGTCAAACAATAAGTCTCTTTACAAATAGTATGTTGCTTTGGATCTGAGTAGACTTCCTGGTATATCAATTTGTTTATTTTTTTTTTTACTATAAATAGCAGTCCCTACAGAGATTATGATCTCATTTCCGTCCGTTCCAATGGTTCTGATCAGGTGCTTTTGGCTCTCAGTTGAGGGCTTTAGTCTTATGTGATCACCAATATTTACAGCATAAATGCTTTATCTTGTACACCTATAATTGTGTGTCATGAACTGCAGAGAACAGGAATGAAGACTTCTGAGGAGAACTGAAATGAACATTCAAGAAATCCAAGAATGTTTTTAATTATTACGCTGAATTACTACACAGAATTTTATTATTTCAAAAGGACCTGCTATGCAAAAATCACTTTTATAAGGGGTTTACACAGTTTTGTGAATATACGCAGCTTCTGATGGTATTAATTAATTGAGTATATCTGCAGAAACACTTTGATTGACATTCTGTGTGTGTGTGTGTGTGTGTGAGTGTGAGTTTTGTTGCATTGTTTTTTTTTTGTTTGTTTTTTTTTGCTTTTTTTTTTTTTTTTTTTTTTTTTTGATTGATTTTGTTGCTTTTTTTGTTGTGCTGCTTTCTTGGTTTGATTTAGCTTGGTGAATTTGTTCCATTGTTGTTTTATTTTGTTTCATTTTGTTTGCTCATTTTGTTGTTGTTGTTGTTTTTTGTTTTGTTGCTTTGTTTTTTGTTTTGTTGCTTTGTTTCATTTTGTTTTGTTATTTTGTTGCTTTTTTGTTTTGTTGCTTTGTTGGTTTGATTTTGTTTTATTGTGTTTTGACATTTTATTGCTTTTTTCGCTTTGTTGTGTTATTTTGTTTAATTCTTTTGTCATTTTGTTGCTTTTTTGTTTTGTTGCTTTGTTGTTTTATTTTGTTTCATTTTTGTATGGGCATTTTTTTTTTTTTTTTTTTGCTTTATTTATTTGTTTTATGACTTTTGTTGCTTTTGCTTGCATGTAAAATTAGATATAGCACTGCATGAGTTCAGTCCAACGTAACTATTGTTGTCCCATCTTTAAACAAGTCTTTACAAAGCTGCATCCCTCACAAGACAAGTTCACAAAACAGGCACATAAATACCCAGGCACATCAGACTGTGATGACCCCTTTAAAATGATCAGAGACATTGTTAAAATTATACATCGACAACAAAGCATTTGTAAAGATCCTCTTCGCTTCAGTGCAGTGCTTGCAGACAGCTCTATTCAGTAAGCTGTGTCAGCACTTACTGATCCTATTTGCCAAGTTACTTGGATCCGTTCAGCATTCTTTTCCAGTCAGCTCAGCGTACATTATTCTTTTATTTTCATCCCACAGTAATGGAAGACTGGGAACATGTGGATCTGAGTAGACTTCCTGGTATATCAATTTGTTTTTTGTTTTTTTACTATAAATAGCAGTCCCTACAGAGATTATGATCTCATTTCCGTCCGTTCCAATGGTTCTGATCAGGTGCTTTTGGCCCTCAGTTGAGGATTTCAGTCTTATGTGATCACCAATATTTACAGCATAAATGTTTTATCTTGTACACCTATAATTGTGTGTCATGAACTGCAGAGAACAGGAATGAAAACTTCTGAGGAGAACTGAAATGAATATTTAAAAAATTCCAGAATGTTTTTAATTATTACGCTGAATTACTACGCAGAATTTTACTATTTAAAAGGGACCTGCTATGCAAAAATCCCTTTTATAAGGGGTTTACACAGTTTTGTGAATATAGCCAGCTTCTGATGGTATTAATTAATTGAGTATATCTGCAGAAACACTTTGATTGACATTCTTCCTTTGTAGATGTCACTGGAGCAGGAAAGCCCCGCCCATTAGTGACAGTCTCTCCCTCATTAGCATACAGTCCTAAGTAGGAAGCAGCTGTCTACCATTAGAGTTTCGAACTTGCTGTTATGCTGACAAACAGGCATTTTACGCTCCTCTCTCTTTTGAAAAGAGGCTGGGAGCACATTCTCATTTGAATTTAAAGTGACAATCACCAAAACCGCACATTTTTGATCAAAGCCTAAAAGGAGCAGTTTCAAAGAGTTATAAAAATTATTTGTGTTGTATTTTTAGCTGAAACTTACAAACACACTCTAACGACATTGATCAGAATTTTTTTCTACATCTTGTGAAAATGGACATGGTAGGTCCCCTTAAAATAAATAAATAAATAAAAAATTAAAGTATAATTGGAACCATATCCAAATATGATTGCATTATACAATGTTCAGGATAGCATAAAATACTGTGCATGGCAGAAAAATTAATACGTTAATAGTAATATTTCTTATAAAGTCCTCTGTGAAATTGTAATTATTTCAAATATGTCAAATATTAGTGAGGTTTACAGGACAAATTATTTTTTTACAGTATTTCCTATTGCATTTAGTTTTTTTGAAGAAAGTCTTAATTTTTTTGCTTTGGCTGGAATAAAATATTTAGATTTAGTTATCTCCCTCAAGAGTTTTTGGTTGACAACTGAAGAAATCAGCTAAGGCTAAGGCTTTAAATTTACTTGAAAGCTAAATAACCTTGCAAATTAACTATCAAAGTTTTATGTACTGTCTTCATAGCAAAAATAAATTAATATGGTTACTAGAATTTAGTTTAATAAAACTATTTTATATTTTTAAAAAGTGTAAGATTCCATTCTATCAACCCAACGTTGGAGTCCAACGATGGAACTGTACGTCTTTTTAGCGCTTCTGAAAAGAATTGTGTTATTTATTTGAATTTGTTTACATAATATTTGTTTTCAATCTTACTTTACAAATAATTTAATCTGACTCCACTTTTACCTTTTATATTTTAGCTGATCACATTACAAGTTAGGATTTCATTTAGATTTTGATATTTTCTTGGGTCTAATATTCCTAATTATATGTTTATATCTCCGTATAGTCAAAAGAGCCTTAAAAATCTATAAAATCATGTTAGAAGGTAATGGTAGCTCAGACTTTACATAATTTACATACTGGATACAATGAGTTCAGAAAACTGCTGAATTAACTAAAAAGGTTACTATTTATTTCCCAGATACAAGTGCATCATGCCAATTACAGAATGAAACAATAAAAGCCAATTTAGAAGTAAATGCACAACATACTCAATTCAAGTGTAGAGATGATAATCCAATTTATACATAGTAATGAGCTTGAGAGCTCTTTTTCTTTAGTTTTCAGAGTTTTAATTATTATTTTACACGACACATTTTAATTCTGAGTAAAACCCATCCCTACAAAAGTGTTGAACATATTATTATATTTATTTGGGAAATATAAAAAAAAATTACCATTAAAATTTAACTAATAATTTTAGGGCTTCTGCATTCAACCGTATATTTGTGAATACATTCTACTTAAAACATGTAGCCTTTTACCTAGTAAACAATGGAAACAAGCACTGGAATGTAAACAATAAAAAGTCATCAGAAACAGACATGTCTGTGTATTCAAACAAGCATTCCTAAATGTATTGGTTTCCTTTTGGCGAATGCTTGCCATAACACAGATGGAGAGAATCAGTCCCAGTTCTCTGCAGGTATTTCCGCATGGAGACTTTGGAGACAAGCTTGCATATGGGATTTAAAGAGCTTTGTGTATACCCTTTGCTTGCACTTTTATAAGCTTGTTTTCTCCATAAATGACATTTGTCAAACGTGATGGGAATTGCAGACGACCACAACTTCAGGGGTGCATTTTTTTAGAGTCAGCATGTTAGTGAAAGAGTCGTGAAGTGTGTTCTCATATAAAACACATCAATCCAGCAATGAAATACTCCAAAAAAAGTTACTTCTATAGGGTTAGCATATTTATTTTTTATATAATTCTCAAATACAATTTTATTGAGGAGCTGCACGGTGGCACAGGGGGTAGCAAGTTCGCCTTACAGCAAGAAGGTTGCTGGTTCGAGCCTTAGCTTGCATGTTCTCCCAGTGTTCGCTTGGGTTTCCTCTGGGTGCTCCAGTTTCTACCACAAGTCCAAAGACAGGTGAATTGAGTATAGGTGAATTGGGTAAGCTAAATTGTCTGTCTTGTATGTGAGTGTGTATGGATGTTTCCCAGTGATGGGTAACAGCTGTAAAGGCATACGCTGCATAAAACTGTATAAAATATACTGGATAGGTTGACAGTTTATTCAGCTGTGGTGACCCCAGATTAATAAAAGGACCAAGCCAAAAATGAATGAATACATTTTATTGAGACTACTGGTGCAGAAATGCTTATTTGCAGTTTTGATTTTTAATATGTATACTGTATAACTAACAGTACATCCTGCATGTGTTTTTAATCTGTTTCTAGACCGGTAAATTTACTTCTGGACAGGAACAGCACTGATATCACTTCTTTTCACACAATGGGAGATTGGCTGGAGAGTGCGAGGACGTTGCCCTGTAAAGATGCATTCAGCGGTGTTAGCTACAGCTCCTGTGATACACTGGCCAAAACCTCAGCAGAGTAAGAAACTTTCACAATACATGCTTTCAGGTTTTATATTATACTTGCAAAAATGATTGACATAATTAGGATGTCATTAAAAGAAGGTTCTTTTGATTGAAAGTAGTTATTTTAAAAAGTAAAACTGTTCAGATGTCTACAGTTTTCACTGTACATTGCATTAATTAAATGTGGCCTTGGTAGACAAAAGAGACTTCTTTTATAAACCTTTAAAAAATCTTAATTCTTCTTAATTGGAGATTGGTGTATATTCAAATACCATTGCTCAAAGGTTTTAGAAAAACATACATTTAATTAGTTTTTATTTATTTATTTTTTTTTTTAAGAAGTCCACCAAGCATGCATTTATTTCAGTCAAAGGTGGGGTTTTCTCCGAGTGCTCTGGTTTCCCCCACAGCTCAAAGACAGGCGGTATAAGTCAATTGGATTAACTAAATTGCTTGTATTGTATGAGTGTGTGAATGCTAGAGTAAATGGGTGTTTTACAGTACTGGGTTGCGACTGGAAGCCCAAGCGCTCCATAAAACATAAGCTGGAATCGTTGGTGGTTCATTCCACTGTGGAAAACAGGGACCAAACCGAAGGGAAAAGAATGAATGAATGAATGAATGAATGAATGAATAAATGAATGAATCACTGTGCTGCAGGGGTTTCTTTTTATGTTCGGTTGGCTGTAATTTTGAGTCCAAGTCAAAACACAAAAAATATATAATATTATATATAAGATTAACAGAATAAAACCAATGCAGAATATGATGACAAATTTATTTAACAAATCATTTTCCAACAAATGAAGTCCAGATTTGTTTAATTATCTAAAGATGTCCATTTTGTTTGTTATTAATTTCAAATGACATTTTGTTCTATTGCAATAAAACAAAAATAAAAAAATAAAAACTCCCACAGTCCTCTGGCTCGGAAGCTCTCATGTGAATCAAACAAACTTCTAATAATAACAGCGTTCAGCACTATGCATATCTGCATCTATGGGAAATGCTTTGTAGATGTTGATTAGAAGTCTTGCTAGCCTGGTTAACATCTCCTGAGAGCACTTTTCGATCCAAATGATGAGGTATTTGACAATGTAAATAACTTGACATTCATAACTTCAGAATGATCAAAGGCCTGGTCTCGGAACAGTGGCAGTACTGTGCTGTGTGCTACCCTCAGGACTAAACATCTAAACACCGAGCAGTCTGTAATTAAGGTTGCTTGTGGTTGTATTTTGTTCAGATGTCAGCGTAAATAATCATATGCAAATAGCGGAACTCATCCATGACCCAGATTGGGTTATTTAACATGCAGTTTGTCTCCCCAGTGTTTGGTCTTCCGTACTGAGTAGACGCCGCCACTTTAAAACTGACCATATATCTATGAATTGCAAGAGTGACTATGTTCATCTATATCTCTGCTTAAAAGACCCTGATCGTCATTGCATGTTGGAATTTGGTTAATGTTTAACCACAGCACTCTTTGTTTGCACACAGACAATGGTTAAATTCACCAGCAAAACAACCAAATTTTCTTTTTTATTGAGATCCTTCAAGTTTAGTCAGCTTTACAAATCAGCAGCCATCAATAACTGACACACTAACATTAACAATAAATCGCACAACAATGGACACTATTAGCTGTGTTTAAAGCATCACATAATGAGTAGATACAGAATAAGTAGATACAGTATAAATTACACTCACAAGCTACTTTATTAGGTACACCTTAGTACCAGGTTGGACTCCCTTTTGCCTTCAGAAATGCCTTAATCCTTTGTGGCATTGATTCAACAAGATACTGGAAACATTCCTCAAAGATTTTTGTCCATATTCACATGATAGCATCACACAGTTGCCGCAGATTTGTTAGCTGCACATCCATGATGTGAATTTTCCACCACATACCAAAGGTGCTCTATTGGATTTAGGTCTGGTGACTGTGGAGGCCATTTGAGAACAGTGAACTCATTGTCGTGTTCAAGAAACCAGTCTGAGATGATTCATGGCACATTATCTTGCTGGAATTAGCCAACAGAAGATAGGTACACTGTCATAATAGGATGGACATGGTCAGCAACAATACTCAGGTAGGTTGTGGCATTGACCCAATGCTCCATTAGAACTAATGGGCCCAAAGTGTGCCAAGAAAATATCCCTCACATCATTAAACCACCACCAGCAGCCTAAACTGTTGATACAAGGCAGGATGGATCCATGCTTTCATGTTGTTGACACCAAATTCTGACTCTACCATCCGAATGTTGCAGCAGAAATCAAGACTCATCAGACCAGGCAACATTTGTCAAATCTTCTATTGTCCAATTTTGGTGAGCCTGTGCGAACTGTAGTCTTAGCTGACATGAGTGGCATCCAGTGTGGTCCTCTGCTGCTGTAGCTGTTTCGGCTCAAGTTTGACATGTTATTTGAGTTACTGTTGCCTGCCTTTCAGCTTAAACCAGTCTGGCCATTCTCCTCTGACCTCTGGCATCAATAAGGCATTTGCGACCTACAGCACTGCTGCTCACTATGTTTTCTTTGGACCATTCTCTGTTAACCCTAGAGATGGTTGTGCATGAAAATCCTAGTAGATCAGCAGTTTCTGAAATACTCAGAACCGCCCATCTGGCACCAACGACCATGCCATGTTCAAAGTCACTTAAATCCCCTTTCTTCCCCAATCTGATGCTCAGCTTAAACTGCAGCATATCATTTTGACCATGTCTACATGTCTAAATGCATTGAGTTTCTGCCATGTGATTGGTTAATTACAAACTTGCGTTAACAAGCAGTTGAACAGGTGTACCTATAAGTTGGCGATGAGTGTATATTACGAAGCATTCACCAAAAAGTAATACCACATCAGCATTAACCATTACCAGTGCAGAACTAAACAGTCAGCATTACCAAGCCCAAAAACCACAGTATGACCAAAAAGTCAATAAAGACTGACCTTAAATTTGCATGAAATTTGATTTTGGTATTTTTAGCAGGATGTATAAATATCAGACAAAACTGTGGTCGTAAAGATCACTGTTTACACCTCATAAATTGCTAAAAACAAGCCATATAGCAGTTACACATTATGTGGTCACACTTTATTTTAAGTGGCCTTAATTACTATGTTCATTTTATTATGTTTATGTAAACAAAACGAGTCCCTGGATAGAGCTTTAAATTGCAGTTTAAAACATATTTGCTATTTAATAGATGAACAAGAGTAACTTAAGCCTGCTTACATATAGCATTTTCAAACAAAACTTCCAGCCATATAAATTAAGCTTAATATAATTTGCAAATCATTATATAAATAAAATAAATTAGCTATAGCTTATACCTATTGTGTACAGTATATACCTTTTTTACATAGTACATATGTTTTACAAAATGGTCTGCATGAATATACATATGTAATCCATTTATGAAATTAGAGGAATGTTTCAAAGTGGGTTCTACAAAGATAAATATTGAGAAGACAAAATAATTTTAATCATACTTTTAAATCATCAAGAAACTTGAGATGATGTTACCTGATCAACCTGGGGAAATGATGAAGGTCTTTTTGAAATATCTGAGGACCATGATTGATTATCTGAAGGCAAACCAGATGTTTTGTTGAGGAGAATTTTCTGCTTACCAAGACATTTTGTTGTGACTTTATACTAGTTTGGATGAACGCATTTTAGGGTATAATATAGTTTTTTAATATAAGCAAATAATGTTGGCTAATAAAGTAAAATACTGAGTAATAAAGGTGTCAGGCAAAAATATTGAGTTATATGATAAAGCATTTTGGAGAAAGTGGCACCCTTCCAAACAAGGCTTTTAAAACTGTTACAATCCCAACACTATTATAATGTTATATGAAGGCAACAAAAGCTATAAATAAGAAATGTATAAACAAACCTTTGTATCATATACAAACAATATGTGGAATAAAATGTTGTTTAACATTGTTTTGGTACAAATAAAGGTTGGTGTTATTTATGTATTAGGTATTTGATTGCGTTATGTGAATGTTTCGAACATGAAGCACAGTAAATACCAATTTTTTAACTATTGCTAAACTATTCATTTTAAACAAATGTATACCCACAGTATATTTGTACTGTATAAAGCCTCCAGCCATTTGGTCCATCCGTATACAGAGTAGTTTTGTTGCGTGCTATAGCTTGAAATTAAAGATCTTGTGATCTTGACTTACTTTATTTGATCCTTTCAGATTACAGATACGCAACAGCGTAACAATCTTCCTTCCCATATCAGTTTAGCTTGCTCTATTTCCGTTTTCATGCCTGCTTTAAAGTTTCTCCCCTGCCATTCAGTATTGCTTGTCCACTGGTTTTATCATTGTTTTACTGTTTCTGTGTATTTAGTGTATTTGGTCTTTTTTCCAGTATCATATGTAGCTTTTAGTTTATCTTTCTAGTACTTTTACTGTACTGTGGCGCTTTTAATTTGTGTTTAATTTTAATATGTAATTTAATTTAGTTGTGTTTTATATATAAATATCCTGTTGTATTGCATCGTTACTTGACTTGCATCACAGAATAGTTGCGACTAAAAAGAAAAACTTGAATGTGAATGTGCATACACAAATGCTGCTGTACACTACCTGATTAAAGTCTTGCCGTCGATCCTAGTTGTCAGAGCAACAAGTAATAACTTGACTTCTAGTTAATCATTTGGAATAGTGGCAGACGATATATTTTTCTAATGAATTATCTGTTGAACTGCATCCCAATCATCACAAATACTACAGAAGAACCCACGTGGACCCAAGATTCTCACAGAAATCAGTCAGGTTTGTTGAAGGAAAAATCATGATTTGGGGTTACATTCAGTAGAGGGGATCTGCAGAAAACTGCAGAGTGGATGGCAACATCAACAGCCTGAGCTACCACAGGAAATGGCAAATTGTTTAGCAGGATAGTTCTCCTTATACTTCAGCCTCCACATCAAAGTTCCTGAAGGCAAAGAAGGTCAAGGTGCTCCTTTATCATAGGGGCTATGATAAAGGAGGAGACATTGAAGATGAATCCAAAGAGTCTTGATAAACTGTAAGAGTCCTGCAAGAATTTTTTCTTTGTAAAGTTATTTAATATGTGAGTCAGAGATGTATAGATGCAGTCCTCCAAGCTCATGGGAGTCATACACAAAATGAATAATTTTTCCACTGGACCATTTATATTCTCCATAGAATAGATATTAGATCTTTATATTCTATACTATACATTATTTCTGTTAAGTGAGACCATTTGTGTAAACTAAATCAGACATTACGATCGTAATTAAATAATTAAAAATCAAAACATGATAATATTTTATTTTGGTAAAATAATCATAATCTGAGGACTTTGCCTTTCTTATAAGCCACTTCTGATACCAAATGATCAACTAAAAGTCAGTAAAAGTTAGTATTTGTTGCTTTGATAGGTAGAATTTTTTTTTTACCATTTATTACAGTGAATTACATGTAAGGACACTTGTAAAGTATACTATTTTATTGCATACAGTACTCAACACTCAAACTTTGTATGCAATCCTTTGAAAAAAAAAGATTTGTCCAAACTACTACATGATTGCATGTCTAATTCCTCCAGCAGTAAGATGTTTTACAGCTCTATTAAATGCAGTTAGATCTGGATATCAACTGTTTGTAGCCTGATCAAAATGTATCCTAACATTTTAATTAGCACTACAGAAGAAATGCCTCTCCAGTGAATCACTGAAATAGCTAAATCTGCTTTATTGAATTTTGAATTTGACTCTGAATACTAGATCAAATGCCGGTTGTCATACAGAAATGTTGCAGGCCTGTCTTTGTGAGCGTTTGTTTGGCTGATGTCAGTGCATTAAGTGCGTTGACGATAAACAGCCTTTCTGTATTTCTATCTAAAGCTGTATTTTGCCCATAGAATCTGTCTGACTGAAGTCAGACCAGCAGCCACGTGCCCTGAGTGGGAGCCATCCATGGGAATTACAACACTTTAAAGCTTATAGACTGGATGGTGGGTTTTGATCATAGCTTTTCTATTGCTGGCTGTTCCCTCGAGCTCTTGCTTGCGCTCGTCCGCTTCAGGACTAAATTGCTGCTGCACCTTCTAGAAGTGTTTCTAACAGAGCTCCTGTCTGAGGTGTGCGTTGCCTAACCTAGATTATAACTTGCTTGCACTAATATGCTATAATTATATTTACTGCACAGCTTTTGCATCCCCTGGTCTGACAATATATAAAAAAGACTTGTTGTTTTACAAAAGCTGTTGTCCTTCAGGGCTTGAAAGTTATTGCTTTGACATTTTTGCAATGTTTCCTTTTTTCCTTTTTGTGGTTTGATCAAAAAGGCAAAACATGACTTCACATTGGTTTTTGTACACCCTATAACACACTGTACAATTTACAGTGGACACAATTTGTCTGAAGACAATGTTTGATTTTATTGCTTACATTTTTAAAAAGCTAAAATATAATTGTATGTTAGAAATGTAGGTCACTTTATTTTGATGGTTTGTTTGTTGAATTTAAGTTACATTGCATCTAGATGTAAACTAATTCTCATTAGACTATAAGTACACTGTTAGGTTGGGGTTAGGGTTGGGGTTAGAGTTAATGTAAGTTGACATATACTTGCAAAGTTTCTTATAGTCAGTTAAATGTCTGTTCAAAGAGCAGTATCAACAGATATCAAGCATACAGTCTACTAATACTCAAATGGACTAGAACGTTAAAGTGTTACTAAAATGTATCATGTTAATGAATACTTTTTAATGTTAGCATGTTACTGATACACTGTAAAACTTACTTTAATTTTAAAGTGTGTAAATATGACATAATTTATTGACAACTTATATTTATGCACATAGTTTGTTAACTTAATTATATGACAATGAGTTAACTATCTTTTTAAGTAAAGTTAACTAATTTTACAATGTATAATAGTAAATAAATTTGATTGTATTATTATAAATTACTCTATTTTAAATAAATGTTGTTGTTGTTGTTTTTTCAATTTATTTGTATTAAATTTCAACAAGGTATTAAGATTATTCGGTCACACTTTATTTTGATAGTTTGTTGAATTTAAGGTACATTGCAACTATTTCTCATTAGATTTTAAGTTTTAAAATATTAAGGGGTTAGGGTAAGAGTTAGGGTTAGTGTAAGTTGGCATGTACTTGCAAAGTTTCTTATTGTCAGTTAAATGTCTGTTGAAGGAGGTTTATCAACATTTTAAGCAGACAGTCTACTAATACTAATATATAATGGATCACCAAAATAAAGTATTGTTGATTATTAATAATAATATTCGTAATAAATACTATTTGCAGTATTATACACTGATAATAGGAAGAAATTATGATATTTATCATCAGTTTAACATATTGTCATCACTAGATTCTGAAACCTGAGGCTGCTAAAAAAGCTTTGCCTCACTGGAATAAATAACACAAAAAATAATTATTTATATTATACTATAATATTAATTAGAAAGAATAGACATCTTTTTGTACAAATAATATTGTTTTAAATGTTAGTTTTACACATTTTTAATCACAAATATTGCTGTGCTGGGGTGTATTTCCCAAACATCGACATAACTTGTGGCTAAATCATATTATAATGCATCATTTGGGAAATGAATGGTGTTGTAAAATTAGAAAATAACCCAATAATTGTTTTGTGCAAATTGTATTGTTTTACATGCACACACATTAAAAAAAAAAAAAAATCCATTATAAGTTTTGGTAAAAACATGCTTTTGTTTGCCCTATTAATTGAAATATATGTAAACGGCACTTGTAGGGCCTATGTTTCCTTTTACAAATATTATTAAGAATATTCCATATTCTATTCTAAAGCATAAAATAACTTACAAAAGTTAACATACATTTTAATCTCATTTATACATCATATAAATAATTGTAATTTACCATTTGGTTATTTATTAGGCTGTAATTAACTGTAGGCTATTTATTAAGAAAGGAAAAACATCCTTCTGCATAATATTAGCCTAATAATAATAATAATAATAATAATAATAATAATAATAATAATAATAATAATTATTATTATTATTATTATTAATAACAATAATAATAAAATAAGTAATAATAATAATAATAATAATAATAATAATAATAATAATAGTAATAATAATAACATATTGTTTATTTATTTATTTGTAATTATTATAAAAAAATTAAGTCTACTTTTACAATTTGACACATTCAAACCACTGCAGAACTGTTCTTACCAGCAGGCTCATGTTTTATACATTACATATACATTTCTTAAAAAGTAACATACTATAAATTAAAGCCATTAATGTATGCTATATATGTTGGTTTTCACAAGCATATAACGTAAATTCCGCTTTTAAATAATAGGCAACCTATAGCTTTTGTCTTGAGCCAGGCTGCGTTCAAAATTGCATAAATGTTTTCAAAGGGCACTGCGAAGTGGTCAATTTAAAGATCGCTAAAACCTAACTGTAAAAATACTTTAAAAGCAAATTACACCTAAGAGAGATGACTTTTATGATTTTTTTTTTTTATCATTTCGAGTTTAAATGTTGGACTATTCGAAATGAATAGGGCATAGGGGGTAGAAAAGAACACAATCAGGAACTATGCTTTAGCTCTAGAGCTCTAGAGATATAGTTTTAATCGTTGGAACGATGCATTTGGGAAACGCCAAATCAACAAATTATGTTTGTAATGACAGAACTTGCGACCTTAGTTGGCTATTGATGGTTTCGGAAATGCACCCCTATATACCTAACTGGTTTGCATTGACTTTTTCAGTCATTAATAGTGTATATGTCAAATTTTCTGAATCCTTAATAGAACTACATTGGAAGAACACACAAAATTAAATTGACTACTAGTTAGTTACATTTTGTCTTTATCATGCTGCTTATTTTATCTGTAAACTACAGCAGCATTACCTGCAGTAGCGCTGTTTTACTCTGTGCAAAAATGCACGTAGAGTCACGTTTGTCCTATGAGACCAGGTAGGATATGTGTGCGCATGATGAACTCATCCATATGGTAAGTCTGGAGAGTCTATTCATGATTGTAAATAATGCAAGCGTCTGTCAGCTTTTGCATGGATCTCATTAAATGAAAAATGTCGTTCCTTTCCCTCCGGGGTAACCCTGACAGTGTAGTTCCTTTGAAATTACAGTAGAAATAACCAACTCGCAAAACGAAGCAGCTACTCCAATTTCTCATCACAGGAAGCAATAAATCAACCCAATTTTTAAGTTATAACACAAAGTCTGTCATAAGTCCACAGTGTGCGGATGACAGCACTGGCGTCCGCCTGGAAAACTTTCGTCTTACATGACTGACACATGCAGTCTGGGGCCGAGCGGCGCTGCGGGCTTGTCGTTAATGTAACCATATGTCAAACTGTGAGAGCTTTATTACCCACACTCACTGTCACTTTCTCCTCTCTGACACACAGGGACTTCAAGAAAGTCGGCGTGACGATAGTTGGACCTCAGAAGAAGATCGTGAGCAGCCTAACAACACTTGAAACACACTCAAAGAATGGTCCAGTTCCTGTGTAAAATTAAAAACAAGTAACGGAAAAGATACTTCTATATGATGCTGCTTTGGCTTTAACAGACAGGAAATGGATATTAAATGAAAGGAGGAAGTGGAACTACAATTCCTGAATAGATGCGCAAAGCAGAACAACCTTTCTGGAGAATGATCACGTCTTCCTGGGCACGAGTTGAAAAGACAAAGAAAGCATTTCCCAGCCATTGACATGTTGCCTTAGAGAGAGGCGGGTGAACACGGACCTCGTGTTTAGGAGACACAGTACTGCTGAATGGATCTTATAGACAGAAGACTCCGATGGAATAGAAGCTGGTTCGATCCATATGGATTTAAGGAAGAGCTCTTCATATGTTGCAGGAGAGCACAAAAAAGCCTTCAGGAAACAAAAAAAAAAAACTTTGCAAAAGCATCCGTCTTCCTTTTGGAAGGTAGCACTTCAGAGAGGCAATAGTTTTAGTGGTTTCAGGCCACTTGTAGAAAAGCCCCCTTTAATTCTTCTGAAGAACAGCAGGAGAAATGCAGTACACCTGGTTACTGTTAGAGCAGTCTGGTAACGCTTGTTAGGATCTGACTCATTTGGCTATATATTTGATAATAAACCATTAATCTGCAAGTGCAGAGAGCCATTCTCGAGAATCAGGGATGAAGCATAGGAGCCGTTTGGGTAAACTTGCCATTTAAAAGGTTTATTTGTTATTGTAGCCCATGGCATTTTTGTTTGTACCACTGTGTTCGGATGATACATGCATTCATTATCAAATATATAAAAGAAAAAGCAATCAATAAGAGTCTGTAAATCATAATGAACTGAGGACATGAGGATATGGCAGCATCAAGCAAGAAATCCAGACAGAATACCAGCAGAGTGTTGATCTCCGAAGTCTCAAATACAATATAGATGAGAGACCCAGGCTATGTTTGAAATAAAATACTATCTTACTACACTGTTAAAAGCAATTCTTTACTTTACTTTTAAAAATGAGTGAACCCATTGCCTTAAAAGCAACACGTTTACTTAAAAAAAGTTTGTAAACCTGTTAAAATTTTAAGTTGTATTAACTTAACTTTTGTAATTATGTACAAAGTTCATTAATTTAATACGTTTAAGGAATAGGTTTAATCACTTTTTTAAAGTAAAGTCAACTGATCGTTTTTTACAGTGTACCTAACACTAACTGGTATGTGAAACAATTTTTTTTTTTACATTTTTACATGACCTCATTGTGATGCATGTTTCACTTTCCTCTGCTCCCACTAACCTTGAAAATGAGATTCAGACTATTTTTGCATTTGATGAAATGAAAAACTCATATTGAAGCCACGTTGATCATAGCAGTATGACTTGCTCCACAACCTTCTTTTTTGTTGTTGTTGATAAAAAAATATTTTAATTATGCAGCCCGTTTATTCCAGTCACCTGACTTCATTCTGGTATAATGCAAAGTTTTCAAAATCCAGTCTATTTGTCATTCATTGAAACAAAGGCTCATTCATTTGCTTTACACGTTACTTAAGTGGTGTTTATAAGACTGTCATAAAACCTTTATGATCATGACAGGTGATGATTACGAAGAAGATTTTATGTGTGACACCATCATTGTGACATTAGTGCAGTTATCTCATTTTAAATACAAAGATGACAATTTATGTTGTAGTGACTAAGACTTAGGGTCCTATCTGGCACAATAAACAAAATGTGTATTGCGCGATTTGTTGCTATTTTCAGACCAGTGCAACCCTAATTTTAATGTTTTGCACTACTTCGTTTGAAAAGCCAATCCATTGGCGCTACTTTGTGGACTCATTAGTGAGCTGGTCTAAAAAGAAGGTGCGTTAAAGTGCATTGTTGGTGCATTGTTATTTTGAGGAACTGAAATAGACAATGCCTTTACCAAGTAAAATCTGTTCTAAAGTCCAGTGCAGAGTTCATTAGTTATGGGTCTATGCAGGGTCAAATGCTCAATACACTCAGGATGTTTGGCAATACACAAAAATTTTTACATATGAAACTAAATGCCTTTTTCATTCCTGGGGGCTTTTTTCAGTTTATTCATAACAATTTGCTTATTTATTATAATGCTATTAGCAGTATTATTTATTAAATGCATATTTATATTTGTTTTAATTTAAAAAAAAAGTTTAGATTTGTCCACCTGTCGGGTTTTTGTGACGTATGCATCACAATATGGGGCATAAGAATAAGACGTGTGTTTGGCTAGAACTCATTTGATGGAAAGTAAAACTGAATTTAAAAGCAGTTCTGAAACAAATCTTTGTGCATAACAAACTAAATTGAACATGTAGTCTAATGGATGTCCTCAGTAAAGTGAGTTTTCACTGTTCCCTTATCCACGAAAAAAATAAAGTAAAAGTAAAATAAATAGAATGTAAAGAGGCTAAATAAAGGAGGCTCATTGTTTATCCTCGCGCAGATTGTCTGTTAAACTGTTTTCTCGCAAGTTAAGCATTCAGTTTTTCCACTTACAATGTCCACCATGTAAATAGCAAATGCCCTATGGCGCAATGCAACTGAATTTTAAAGGGAATGAGAGATGAGACTTTCATTGGTTTAATGCATGTTCTGCTCAAAACACACCCATAACTCATTTAGAGAATAACCACAACCCTGTTACACTACAAACTGTATTTTCCCATCCTTAAAATCGCAAAAGTGAGTTTGGACATGCCCTTAATGCTTTTGCGCTATGAGCTTTAGATTTTGCATCTAGATCGTTAAAATAGAGCCCTTAATGACAGTTGCCATTAGCATGCATAAAATCTCATCCATATTCATGATGTGTCTTATTATGATTATTCATGACAGTCTTATGAACACCTCTTTAAGTAAAGTGTTCCCATGAAATCTATGTTTTATAATTTATCATCCCTGCTTGCATTGTCACAAACTTGCATTATTTAAAAGGTGATATACTGAAGTCTATGAACTCAAAAACATTCTTCAAAATGTCATCTTTTGTGTCGCATAGAACTAAGAAAGTCAGTACATGATGACAGAATTGTAAACACAAATCTAGTTTCACAGCACATTTTATTGGTTGAATGCATTCACAGACACTTGTCATGAAACACTCACAACTTTTGGGCAGTCAGTTTTGTTGAAGACAAACAGAGTTTGCACTATAGTGTTTTTCTGAAAAACACACTTCTACATGCAGTAATTTCTCACGCTAGAAATGAAAACTCAAATCATGCTTGTTGCATTAATGGATAAGGTATCATCTTGTGCGATGTGCTCTGCTGTATCCAGCAGAAAGCCATCTGGATATTTCACACAGTAAAACATTTCAACATACAGTATTGATAGTATAAACTGTATACTTAATAAAATAGTATGGTAGTGTGCTATTCTGAACATAGCCATGCTCTGTTATTTTGATTTCGCAAGATGAGATCAGTGATATAAAATCTTCCTAAGTTTCTGAAGGTGTTCTGAAAGAAGGCTAAAAAAGGCTCACTTTTTAGAACATCCAGCCTTCAGAATGGCTTCAAAAAGGTTCTTGAAGTTTTGTCTTAAAATAACACTCTAACCTTTCTGGAATTTTATTTATTTTTTCATTTTACAACTCCCGTAGAGTTAAACAGTTGAGGTTTATAATTTTTTTAATACATCCTGCCGATCTCTGGAGCCTTTTAGCTTAGCTTATCATAAATCGCTAAATTGGATTAGACCTTTAGCATCTCTCTCAAAGAATTATTTTGCTTATTAAAAAAGTAAGCAACATTTTTTGATTGTTATATCAAAACAAGAGTATAGTTCATATTGACCTAGAAAATAGCAACTTTTCATTTTCCGCTGGGCTGAAAACACAATGTAACTACAGAAGAGTCAAGCTTTACATTGGAAAATTATAATTCTTTGAAAATTTCAAGAGAGATTCTAATGGTTTAATCCAATTCAGGGCAACGCAGTGGTGCAGTAGGTAGTGCTATCACCTCACAGCAAGAAGGTTGCTAGTTCGAGCCTCGGCTGGGTCAGTTGGCATTTCTGTGTGGAGTTTGCATGTTCTCCCCTTGTTTGCATGGGTTTCCTCTGGGTGCTCCAGTTTCTCCCACAATTCCAAAGAGATGCGGTACAGGTGAATTGGGTAAGCTAAATTGTCCGTAGTGTATGTGTGTGAATGAGTGTGTATGGTTGTTGTTGCAGCAAGAATGGCATCCACTGCGTAAAAAACATATGCTGGATAAGTTGGCAGTTCATTTCGCTGTGGCGACCCCAGATTAATAAAGGGACTAAGCCGAAAAGAAAATGAATGAATAATCCAATACAATGATTTATGCTAAGCTAAAAGTGCACTGCCCCCAGATTGACCAAATAATAAAATAAAAATGTATTGTACAAATTTATTTGCAACAAAAATTGGAGTGTTACTTTAAAACACGTTCATATATATATATATATATATTTTTTTTTTTTTTTTTCTTTTTTTTTTAAGACATCCTGATAATAAACTTAAGATAGAGCACTAGTTGTGCACCAGTCATACCGTGTTCTGCACTACCTTATGAAGAAACTGTCCATTTTTCCTCTGTGTCCCTTTCATCCTGCCTGTAAATGTTGCTTTATTCCTGCTGTTAGCATGTACATAAGTGAACCGGACCTGTTATAATAGCAACGGTGACTCTAGAGGTATATCAATTACCTGGCCATCCCTTTGTACAAATGTCTGTATGTATGTATAAAAGAATGAACAAAAATATCTGTGCAACCTTTACAGAGTTCCATTGTATTATATGTTTATGTTATTTTGTATTTGTTTTTGCATAAAACAATTATAATGATTTATTTATTGCTTAACACAAACCACCACACACAGTGCCCTTTTTTCATAGCATTCAGTAAGTTATGACATGGTTATGTTTCAACCTTATCAGTGTCTTTCTATTTTACTTGGTTGAAAATGATGTTTTGAAGAGCAATACTGTTTTGCGTCCCGTTTCCCTTCTTTAGATTAATGTGTGTGTATGTGTGTGAGTGTGTAGATGGCCTTGTCTACTAATGTAAAATGATTTGTAGTGGAAACATTTATATTTTTATAATAAACATTCTCAAAATATTTTCTAAAGAATGAATGCTAAGAAGAAAGTCTCGCCTTGGTGGGTTTTTTTTTTTACACGAACACACATGCAAACATATATACAAATGTACACACATCCAGTTGTAGTGAAAATTATTAGCCCTACTGTGAAATTTGTATTCGTTTTCAGATATTTCCCAAGTGCTGTTTAAAGAATGGAAGATATAGTTTTAATACATACACTCACCGGCCACTTAATTAGATACACCTTACAAGTACCAGGTTGTACCTGCTTTTGCATTCAGAATTGCCTTAATCATTTGTGCCATATATTCAAC